CCAATATAGACCATAATTTTTGAAAGCGTTTTTTATTTTGTTAGGAAGATGAATTAGTAATAAAAAACTTTTTCAATATCATGCATGCAGGTTTTAAATATTTAAAGTGTCTGACCTAAAAGCCAAGTTGTACTTTATCAAATAACTAAACAAATACTTTCCCGATTTTGAATTATTTAGTGTTTGTTGAATTGTAAAAGCCATAATAAATAACATTTGAAACCTACAATTTGGAAAAATAATTACTAATTAGGTATTTTCCATTCAATCTTTAACAACTTGTAATAAGTTGGTGTAATTTGATCTGATAAGCACCCTCTCTGATTATTTTCAAGCAAATTATTTTATAATTTGAAAGCGTTGATGAAATTGTCTGCGACTAATGTTCTCGGAGGTCATCTTCGATGAACTTCAAATGCCACTCCTTTTTTATTCTACAGACATTATGCTGTATACGATATTACAAAGTCATTATCTTCATACTTGGAACGTCTAGTCTAGTAATGAATACACCGTGGTGTCATTATTATTCTCCAAATACTCATTAGAGTATTATGGATTAGTTATCCTTTCAAGATCCTACACATAAACATAAAGTACCTTTGCGCAACCATTTTACTTCAGCTGGCCAATTTATTGGTTAATCCAAGTTATGGGGGTATTTATTGGCTGATCGTTAACGCTATAAATTTAAGAGGCTCATCAACATTAAAAACATTTGTCTGCTAGGAGAGAAAACACAGTGTTAACGTGCGTAGTTGCATTTTTCAATCGCTCATAAATCCTTATACTCCTTGAACCAATAAGTGAAGAATAAATTAATTCTAACAAGCACCAACAAATTCCGTTCTTATGATACTATAAAATATATAACATCTCTAGATGAAATTACCTAAACAGATGACGTGTGCTTGTGGATTACCATTTAATGCCACATATTGGAATCTAAAGGCTAAATGTCACGGTTTTGCACGTTTATTACGAAAATAATGTTTATAAAGCTTTTAGCTTTTAGCTTCTTAGGTTTAGGTAAGGCTACTTGATTTTAACGGGACCTGGAGTTTTTATGATTACTTCTGAAGAAGAGATTTTCTTTTTGGAATGGAATGGGGTTAATTGTTTGTTGCACTGTGTCGGAGATAAAAAAATAATGAACATTTTGTCTTTATTATACATATTTTACATTTCAGTTAAAACTTAAAAGTTCTCATGAAAATGGTTTCTGTTTTAACACTTTTAGCACTTAGCTACCCACACCTACAGCTAAATAAATACATTATATTTTATATTTTATACTAGATTACGACAAAAATAACTTCCAAATTGGAATGTTTTGTTAGAACATTATTTTATTTTGATTTTCAAAATTATTACTTTTTTTATTATTTTTTGACAGGTTTTGAAATAATGTATGTTTTTTGTGGCGGCATTTGCTTTTTTTATAATGGGCTTGACTGAATTTTTGTCAAGAATTTTAGCTTGACCAACATTAAAAGTACATGATACAAAAATCTTGTCAATTAGTCGACAGTAGACAGATAATATTGTTGAAATATTGTTTCTACCGTAAAAAATTGGTTTGACTTATGGAAAATGTAATGATTTTTGCTGCGGGTTTAATGGAAAAGTTTCCTTTTGTGTCATACTTTACAACTCCTAAGTTACCTACAGTTTTCATTCCAAGCAGTTGTAAAAACATGGGAATTTGTAGGCAGCAACATAGAAATAATCCATAAAGTTTGTAGAATGATTTAATGTAAGTATATTAAGCTTTCTGTATTTTAACATTCTTATTAGGTTTTGGACTCTGTGATTATTTAATAAAAGCTGTGCCACGAACACATTTGTAAAAACAGTAATTAAATTAATTTTTCATTTGACAAAAAAAAACAATTAGTTAAAGAATAGTTTATTTACAAGGTAGTTTACTTATAGTGCAATAAAATTTTTGCTTTAATGGTAATGGAAAAATATGTACTTTCTGCTGTCTAATGCTTTCAGTCTAATAAAAATATTGTTATCACTTATCAACGATAGTTACCATTTCTACTTTAAAATTCAACAATGTGCAATTATCATTCCATTTTCGTGGACATCGAATATTCCAGACATCGTAACATTTATATGAAATATTGATTCTTTTAACGCTTTACGAGTACATTTTGAGGAATCACCATTTGCGTTCTTGAAATTTTCCGTCAACGTCTCGATAAATACTCTAATTTGCCTGTTACCATTTCGTCAATGCTAGTTCGAGCAGGGAGATCACATTCTGCAGTGGTAACCAGTGCACAAGCATAACAGGCTTCCACATCATCACAACTTTGCTTCATTATTAGTTTCCATGTAGGATAACGACCACTAACATTCTAGATTTCGAGTTATCACGCATTCACCACCAAACACCACTTTTCGTTTCATCAGCGCTTTAACCTTTCACCTCGTGAATACAATATAGGGGTCACACCCTTCAAACACATCCCTGAGCACTAATTATGATGTTTTTACGGGTTTTTGGCACGAAATGTTGCTAAATTTAGCAAACAATCCGCAATGTCAAAGTTTGAATTGTCGAATTAGGAAGGTGCGGTCGTGGCATATGAACATGATGTAAGTCTTTCAGGAATTAACAGTCAGAAATTGTGGAAAGGTTGTGTTTCTGGTGAATTGTGTGACGTAGGTAGGCTTTGTGGCTTTAATGCGATTGAAGTTTGAACATTGAACCTAGAATTTAATTTATCGTCGCGTCGGGGGCTTGTCTAATAGGAATTAAAGTTTTGATAAATCGTTTAAATTATAAAAAAGTATATGAAAGGAACTCATCTTTCTTTGAAACAATGTTTAATATTCAGTTTTCAACGCCATTTTTTATAGTTTTGTAGAGTTTGTTATTTTAATTTAACATAGAAAGAAGTTTTAGTTAATAGATGGTATTAGTTTCCTGCAATCAGATTAAACTTAAAGGCACTTTTGAGCGACGAACGATGTTTTTATCCTTTTTAATCTTATGAAAGGTGAGTCTAGAATCCAAGTATTGCTTATTTAAAATTTTTGACAGAATTTTCAAAAACTGTAATTGCTGGAAACGTACGTTTTGGTAGAAAAATTTCATCTACTGTCAAAAGGAAAATTATCCCATTTTTTGAAGTTTATGTAATATCTTACGTTTATTAAGATACTAGTCTATTTTATTCAAAATTGAAAATTAAAATTTCGATTTTGTTTATTATTGATTTAATCTTTTAGAGCTATTTAACAAACTGTTTTTTATATTTTTATATTATTTTATTACTACAATTGTTGCGTAATATGAGAAAATTTTTGTATCGTGATTAGTTTAATTGTGAGCTAATTTTTAGCCTAGTATTGTGCTTAATGTTTACGTTTGTAACAGAGTCGTATTTAGGTATATTTTTTTACAGTTTTTTACTTTTGTATTTGTCAAGAACATTTTACTTCTTAAGAAAAATTGGAAGCTTAAAAAAATATTTGAATAATAAAAAATGTCATTTTGTGATAAATGGTGAACTATAAAAACCGAAATAACACGACACCCATTTTAATTTTGAGTTATCCATTAGTGGGTCGTAATTGCTGTAATATAGATTTTTAGTGTTTGTCAAATGATAACTTTGCTTTTATAAAGTGGTAACATTGCTGTACTTTTACCGCAACTCATTTTAAATAAATAAGTTTATTTCAACTTTTATATTGTGTGTAAAAAAAAATGGAATTAATTTTTTTGCTCAATTACTCGTATTATTTCTCCCGTGTGTAACATCGACTTTGCTGGATTCTTTTAAGTAAATAACTAATAAAAATATTACTGCGCGTAAAAACACAAAATAATATCTGAGGTAGGTTTTCATACAGCGGGTTGACGTGAGTGTTTTTTAATCAAAATTTACTTATAAAAATTTATTGTTTGAAATTGCTGTTTTTTAGACATGGACTAGGTAACTATGTTTTGAATTATTTTCATTCCCAGTTATTATTAATAAACTTGTGCATTTAATTTTGTTTTATTAGGACACAAGGTGTTCCACATACAATAAGCTTAAGAGATGATTTATGGGCTCTAAATAAGCCTAGAATGGTTACCACGTTGATTCATTTTATGGCAGTTTTAAATTAGATTTGTGTAAAGTACGGAGAGGTGACAATATTGCACTACATTCGAAGATAATAAAAATGGAGTGGAAGACTTGCTTGGGAATTTAGTGTCACACATTTTGTAACGATTTAAAGTGTGATGGATGACTTAAAATGACAAAAATAAAATCTCTACATTTTTCGCTTTATTTTTTTAGTTCTCCACTGGTAAAAGCTGTTCTTTGTTGGTCATTCAAATCTCTGAAAGCTTTAATCTACTAATTCGAGTGTGTGGACAATGCACCCAAATTAAAGCTGCAACCTTTCTATGAATGACTAACGATTCTGAAAAAAGCTCCTGAAAAATGATTGTGAGCCACGTGACAAAGGAACGAATTTATCATTTGACTTTTTTAGTGGTGCCACTCTTTTAGCCTTTCTAGATCGACTTAATTGCATTTGGGGTAAGACGGGGATGAGCTGAGTAATCACGGAGGTTCCAATCCAATTTGAAACTAATTTCGTATAACAAACTTCATAAAGCAGTTGGAAGCACGTATTTTGGTGTTAAAAATTCATAGTTAGCTAATGTTGGTCTGTCTAAAGTTGCGGAATTTTTTATTATTTAGTCCTTGCCTCATAGATTAAGTTGTAATTATACTTTGGCCAAAAGTAAATTACCAACTAACACTTTAAGCGAGTAAAAAATTGCGGTATATCGGAAAATGGCTTTAATTTGCAGCTGTTTTCAAAGAAATATTGGTTTTAAAGCCCCAATACACAATCTGACCTTTCTATCAGAACCATTGCCGGACTCACGGAAGTTATAAAACTTGTCTGGAACGGTTACTGAAGTTTGTTCAACTTTGGGAAATTCTCTCGACTAATTCGTTTTCTTCTTGTTTCAGGGTGCGAGTGGAGTATTATGTCAATGAAAATACATTTAAGGAACGACTGCAACTTTACTTCATTAAAAATCAAAGATCTAGTAAGTTTTCATTCATTCATTGGGTTAAACGCGGTTACAGCACGGACGATATTAAATGAAACAGTGGCATGTATGACTAGGAGTGGTCAATTGAATTGGATATGAAAGTCGTTTATGTAACTCTTTATTTGCCAAAATATACTTTCCATCCACAATTTCAGTTGTTCTGACCACAAAATAAATAAATGAATCACACGACAATATGTGGATAAGTGGCGTTTTACTTAACAATGTGCTCTTCAAGTGCAGATTTCAAACCTTTCATCAACAGTACATTCAAATATGAGGTTTTTCATAGTTTTGTGAAAAATGGCACAATAGAGTTGTACTTGCAACTGCGACTTAATTAAATAGACATATAATTATGGCTTTTTCAAATTGCAACATTGTCATGAAACCAGAGCTAAGTTTATTTCTGTCAACTAGATTTTATATGTTATCAGATTTTCAGATATCAAAGCAAATAGTAAAAATAATTGCTTATGGCACGCAGCGCTTAACTTGATATAGTGATTGAATCTGATAGTGTCTTGGATTATCTTAATACCTTTCTTTGAGGCCAAACTTAATTTTCTCAAAGCCAACAACAATAATGATAAAATTACTAATTGTCACGCATCCTGTTATTTCTCTTTAGCGTGTCGTCAATCATGGCCCGTTACTGCGTTGCGGATTTAAATGCAACAGCAGTGCGGCGAAATAATTATACCGCAAATTACTCCCGAAATAAAAGCTGAGTCTTGACCGAGCTGTAAAGTGCTTTCTATTGAAGGCTGTGTCGTATTTTGTAGAAGTGAGGAGATAATAATGTCACACTGCAAATGAAATAGTAAACCACCAGCGTATAGCAAAGTCCCCATTTCAAAGGAGTATCTTCCTGGCATATCGTTCTAAAGTATTAAAGGATGGCATTATCAAGCTCATTAAATGTAAAACAATCTGAGTAAGCGACTATCACCGGGGGAAACACGTCAACCATGAAAATAGATCGAAATCACCGTTAACTACGAGAGCGTCTACAAACAATTCGTAGAATTAATTCGATTAGTTTGCATACAACGAAAATTGCATTTTAAACAGGCGACGAACGCTAACCAATTTGCATCTAATTCATTTTTCGTCTGTCACTGCAAAGGGAGTGGAGAAAGCTACTTGGGAGAGGTAGCGATGTCATAAACAAGAGATAGTGGAACACTAATTAATTTGCTGTACTGAATTGTGATATTTGGTTTTGTTTGTATTTTTTCGTTTGATTTGAGAGAATTGAATGATTATTTAGTCATTGTGTCTGATATTGAATAATATTGAAATGTATAAGTGATACTTATAGAATACTACCCAAATGTCTTGTGTGATTTTATATCCAGAACCATATTTAACTGAAAAGTGAAAAATAGTGAAAGTTGCTTTGTTTATTTAAAATAAACGAGTATTCTTTATTCCTAAAGGTAGTAGGAAAAAACAACAGAATGTTAATTGAGCAATATGATTAAATTTTAGAAGTTAAAAAGGCAATAGTTAATTATTGGTGGTGAAAACTATTTCTTTCTTGGAGACATTATTGAAACCGCTTTTTTGGCGGTGGGAAGCTGGAGACTTTTAACTTTTAATACTATATGTTTGTGCGAATAAGTTTTTTGCTTTTAAGACGAAATAAAGCTTAACAAAAATAAACTTTATTCTTGTATAAACTAATACAGAAAACGAAAGTCAATTTCCACCTATAGTTTCTTTGATTTGAATAAGTGAATCATATACGTATACTATGTTTAGAAATGGGAGGTCGCTTTAATTTCAGAATCTTACTTTGTTTAAAGATTTAATTTGTTTCTTGATTTAATAATTTAACAATTAGTCTTTAAAAGTTTTTAACTTTTAAGTCTTGATAACTCGATTTGAGAATTGCTTGAAAATTCTCAAGCTTCTAGGATCGGTTTACGAACAATAAATATTTTACTGAATTAAACTACTTACCACTGCGAGTAAAAAAGTGATCACTTTAAAGTTGTCGAAACTTTTAAGACTTAAAAAATTCATTGTGATTGTGACTTGAACTTGTTATCACAGTTGTCAGCCTTAGAAATTTCAGTAAAGTAATCAGAAAATACCAGAATTTGTCATTATTAAGACCATCTAACAAAAGAGGATTTTTATGATAGCAAAGGTTATACTGGTACTAACGCCATCGCAAAAAATGTATCTTAAATCAAGTGAAATATTTGAAATCATTGTTTAACATTTTTGTTTTTTAAAATTACACTTTCTTGCTGGCAGTGATAGATTATTGTCCAAATAATCCAAAGATTATGAGTTGTCACATTAAAATTTTATTGTAATAATTGCTTTAAATGGTTTAAAAAATAAAAACAGTCATATAAAATTATTGTTTATTATTAAATTATACACTAATCGTAAAAATTAAAGAATAGAAAAAATATTAAAAATTTAAACTGTGTAAGAAAATCAATAAATAGAGATTTTAACATAACTGTTTTTTTGACTATAACATTATTAGGTTTAATGTTTTTTCCATTAAGATATGTATATTGAGACGTTTCGTCACTAAACAGCTAAACTGTCATTTAATAAACAGAGAAAATACTAAGTAATCTAAAAATAATATGAATACAAAAGTATAATATTTAAATAAACGAAATTTTAAAGCAATATTGAGAAAAAAATCAATGTTTGCTGTAAATATTATGTAAAAATGTGAGGCTTTAATTTATTAAATATATTAAAATATTTTTTCGAAACTATTCACCTGAAAAGTTACGAAAAGGATAGGTTCTTATCCTCTATTAAACTCTTTAATTGGGTTTAATGTTTCTGCCTTTATTTTCTTTAAGCGATTGATTTTCTTTGTCGTCTGTCGAAACGATACGAAATAATTAAAGCACCGGACTAGATAAGATTATCTAGACTCAAGTCGATTCCGATAATTCACTCTTTTATCAGCGCCACACAAACTTAGCAAGAAAACATCTTTTCATTTTTGCAACCGACTTATGTGCTTTTCACCCTATGCGAATTATTTATTCATGCCTTATGTCGTAGTCTCAATAAATTTTTAAATATAAACGCCGTCCTTTAATAATAATTTATTCATTTTCACATACGAAATCTCCGTCTCTGATTGAATTCATTCGCAACAACACTCCTTTTAGTTGTAAAAATTTGACTAGCAAGATTGTAATTAATTATTTCAACAATTTCCAAGTTTGTTACTCAGGTTTCAGCAGCTGAATTAGTTTCCGGTTTCCGGTTATAGTTCAAATATGGGAGACTATTTAATAAAGATGTATTTTAATCGTGAAAGTGAACTTACATTTTTTTCTGTTTCAGGTCTTAGGATACGAATAGCCAATTTATTTTTAAAATTATTGTCATGTATTCTGTACATAATCCGAGTTGTCACAGATCTCGATCCCACATATGCGGCATGGTGAGTATTCCAAGATAGAGACTTTTGTTTTTTTCTTTATTTCTGTCTATAACAGTATAGACGTGAACATCCTGATCTAAAAATAATTCCGAACGCTTTCACGTTTCGCACATTTCCAGAAAAAGAACTCATTTATTGATGATCAGCTTTTGTTTTTCCTCAGACACGATTTTTGTAAATTAAACTACAGCCATCCTGTTATACCACTTACACTTTCAAAAATTCGTTCACATTTTTGTTTAAAGAATTCATTGGAGAGGATTGGGAAACGTGACATTTTGTTGCAGTTACGGATGTACGCCAGGCGACAAATCCGAATATATTATATCGGCCAATTTAACGGAAGAAAAATTTCAAGAAAACCCAATCATCAACTGGGACGCTATTCTGTGGGTGAACCGCCCCCTCGAACTGTGGATAGTACAAGTGGTATTGGCCATGATTAGTCTAACGGAGGCTCTTCTATTGGCCTATCTCGGATATAAAGTAAGTTCAAAGCTAAAATTACAATTTTTATTTTGCGAAAGGAACAATTGCTAATAATTTTGCGTCAGGTTGCACCTGAGGTGTACGAGTCGCTTACATGTTTCGCTTATTGCTTTCATAAAGATGTTTGGAAAGTAAACGACATAATACTAGAAAGGACAATAAAAGCTTTCAAAAGAATCATATTTCAAGAAGTTAGTGCTTTTACTACGGTTTGATCCCGTTTGTTTTAGCAAAGAAGTATCGTGTACCTTGACTAAAATTTTCAACTTTGAATTTAAGAAATCGATGTAGCTGTTTTAGTGAAAAGTAAAATTAACTCGTTTGTGCTTGTTTGAATGCACTTCCAAATAAAGGCATATTGCAATATTCTCGTCTCTACCTTGTAACTTTATCCCAACGGGGATTTGAGGTTTTCCTCTGAAGAGAGAGAATTATGGTTGCAAAAGCGGCAACTGAAATACGACCAAAGTGTTACCTACAAACAAATACTGTTATCAAACAGAAAATAGGAAACAAATTGGCGAGATACAAGGATTACATTTTTTTTTCAAGGACTGCTTGTAAACAATGCTAAAATTGAGCGAATGCAAAAAAATAATACGCAATCTACTCAAATCGCGCTAAATCTATTTACATTATGATGAAAAATAATTGATGTTTGACAACAAAGTAATAAATTGCTAAACTTTAGAAGCTATTAGGTTTCGTCGGGGAGAAACTTTGCACTTTTCGAGCTTTGTAATTTGATCGCGATTTATGAAAGATGAACCATTTCGTCAGAAATGGCGTAGTAACTTCTAGCAAAAACCTCTCAGATTATTCGACTTCCAAAGTGCCTAACCCCAATATACTATGTAATAATCTCATTAACATGTATTTACTTGGTCATCTGATTTGTGTAAATTAATTTCTTCATTTTTAATTTTTTTTCTTCAGGTCCTCCCCTGTATTATGTTTTTCCTCACTTTGCCATTTGATTGGTAGTGTAACTAACTATAGTTAATAGTATAAATCTACTCTTAAAGAAGGACATTTAAATACTCCTAGTACCTACTTAATGGACGTCTTTAAAATAACCAAACTTTTTTGGACTTTTTATTCTTGGTGCTGCAGGTCGCATAGGATGTTTTTAGTAATAAAATTGTATTTTTGTCAAGCTATAAAAAGTTTCCAATTTGCTTGCTATTTAGTTGATTAATTAATTAATTACGAAAAAGGAAAAACAAGTGCTATTGACTAAATAATAAAGGTTGACATGCAACTGAAACCATGCAAAGATGATCATTTACCTGTTTTTGAAATGCAGTGTATTTTATTTGTTTTCCAGCTTTCTTTTTATTATTTTGTCGTAAATATCGATTTACGATTTATTTTATTTAAAAATATAAAACAAACAAGTGTTCGACTTATCAAAAACACATAAAAACTTTAAAAAATATATAACGTATTCTCAAAATTTATCCAATATACAAAACTTATAAGCTCCTTAAAATTCATTTATATATTGTGGGAAATTTTATTATGTTGAATATTGACCGATTAAAATTTTTATTTTGGTGAGCATGTTTTATTAAATAATTAAACAAACATTATAGAAATTTATTTGGCTGACATACGAGACTGAAAAGTGGAATGCCTTCTTTTATTAAATTCAAGTACTAAGTTACTCTGATTTTTATAAAAACGTAAAGATGTTATTAGTTTTCAAACATTGCAGATTTTTCGTAAAGCTTTTAGCGAAAATGCTCTTCTAACGGTGTGAAGCGGGAAAATGTGTAGGTCCTTCAAAACCAAGAGTGCATACTTGAGCCTCCGTTCCAATAAGATTCGTTAAGGAAGAGCGCGGAAAGTAAACTCTTTCAGGCCTTTCCTGTAACGAGTAATCGGCAAATGTCGAAGTTCTCTCAAAACAAGTTCTTATTCATGTCAGGTGAATTAGAATGTTTTGTTGTCTAGTGTGTGGAGAATCGAAAATTTCAACAAGTATTGATCCTAAAAACATGTTGTCATGCGCTAGTAAGTGTGTTAATAAACACACCTGAATACTATGAAATACTACGAAATAATTGATAGATTTGATGAAATAAAAATGACGACACATTTTTTTTCTTGCTCCTTGACTGGAATTCGTAATTAGTTAAATGCTTTTTCCAGGGAAACATCTGGCAGCAGCTGTTATCCTTTCATTTCATCTTAGAAATTGTGAATACTATTCCATTTACATTAACGGTGAGCTCCTTCGCTGGATTCAATCAGGCGTTAATTTCGATTTTTTACAGCTTTTTTACCCCCCGTTAAGGAACCTCTTCATTCCAGTATTCCTAAATTGTTGGTTAGCGAAACATGCGTTAGAAAATATGTTCGTAAGTATAAAAAACTGCTCCAATAAAAGTATAGCGACGAGAAATTTTTTTATCGAAAATTGACTTATCAGTTCCTTTGAAAGGACGATTTTTCACTTTGTGCCAGTATGCGATGCGCTCTTATCGGAATTTGGAGGTAAATACATATTTTGGATGGATGAAGTATGTACAAGTGAGGGTTTAACAACTCGAGCGATATTTTTTTGCTTTGATGGTCTTTTTATTATTTTTTTATGCGTTATTACTTACAAAAAATAAGTTTACGTAATAGTAACCGATAAAAGTATGAAAGTTCTTGTACAACACTTCTCATCTATTTTCAAGATTTTCTTCAACTAAGTTAGTAATTACGCTGATCTGAGACAAATTCAATTTTCTATTTTCTTCCATTTTCCGTGTCCGATTATTTTACCAGTTACCTCGCTGAATACTAATTTAATTTTATCCGAATCACTCTGTATACGATATTAGTCCACAATTTGCATAAGGTAGACGTTTTTGAATTGCACCTCTACAAATTTACATTTCTCGAGGCTTCCAAATTAACTTTAACAACAACATGAACATGACTTGTTATCAGTGTTCTGGTTTGTCGTTTTGTTTCAGAACGATCTTCATCGAGCAATGCAGAAATCGCAATCTGCTCTGTCTCAACAGCTCACGATATTATCCGCAACTCTTGTGTGTCTCGTATTTACAAGGTAATTGCTTTGTGCGCTACAAAATTTATTTTATCTTTCGTTCTCAGCCTTATCACATTTTTTATCTTTGTTGTGTGTAAATAAATCAGGAGTCTCTAAAACGATTCGTGCACGAAATATTTTATTCACGATTTAATTAACTTGATGATGTTTCTTTACAAAGGATGACATTGGCTTTGCCTCAAATCTCTACACTAAAAACAATTAAAACGTGTACGAACAAAGGATCAAAAACTCAAGTTTCAATTGCCGTTTGATACTCTCACTCGATGAGTCATGTGCAGGCGAGATGTGCTCAATTTTGGGGCTTTTTTCGGAAAGTCTAGACGCCAGTGAAGCTAAGTTAAAATGATGTGTTTATAACCCCTGACGGAATTTTTTATCTGCAGTAACAGAGCAAGTCTTAAGACAGTGGTAATGACTCCGTGGTGGAACGGAAGGAAACATTTTTAAACATCAGAGTTAGCATCACTTTGATGAGGTTCTACAAGTGTTACAGTTGTGTATCTCTTTCCCCAAAAGTTCTAATTTATTTATATTTGTAAATCATTATGCGGATAATGAAATTAGAGCTTTGAAGAAAGTATATAATTAATAGGCAAGTGAACATTTCTATTTAGAATTTAAAGGGATGTCATTGTTTTAACAGGGAATTCCTTGTTGAAATATGAATAAGTAATAGTTAACCTCAGTACCGTATACTAGATAAAAATACTCTGAATTTGAAGTTTTGTGGCATTTGGTTTGTTCGATTAATTGTAGCTATAATTAATTACATGTACACGTTGAAATCCTATTTCAAAATTTATTTATCTTTAGGTGAGCAAATCTAAATAAAGAACGAACTCAAACAATAACATCGTGGAGGTAATTCTGAGTTTAAAAAGATATTTATTATTAGACGTTTCAACCTGGAATAATCTTGCGAGAATTTTTGGGAAAAGATGAGGGGACGTTAAAACGATTCATATTTTATTAAAGATTAAATTTGCTGTCGTTCGATATATAGCGATGAGGATTAATAGATCGTAAGTAGTCGGATCAGTTGGGTTTTACTAAGAGTCTATGATTGAACTATTATTGCTTCACAAGAGGTTTTTAATTTGTGTTCAGAGCTTTTATTATTTCCAATAATTTTAGAGTAAATCCAAAGAAGATCATACTTTTGTGTGACATATTTTAAAAAGCTTCAAAACTAGTTTTAGCTGAAAACAGTGTTAGTTATTCAAGTTTATTTAAAAAATTCAGGTGATAAATAAAATTAACATAAAAAAATTGTTACAGTTTGTATAGAAACAAAATTACATCCAATCAAGACAACAAAAATTAGTCTAGAGCATGAACTAGGAAATCTCTGTGTTTCAAATTATTTATTATTATTATTATTTGCACCCTGCCTACTTATTTTGAGAAAAATTGCAAATTTACAATAGATTAAAATTTCAAGTAGGTATAAAGGACTTCTTCTTTTTTCTCCCAGTCGGTTAAAGAGCTCGTTTTTCAAAAAGTGTTAACACTTTCAAAAACATTTCAAATTCGGTAGTAAAAAACATGCAAGCATCTATTTTGTAAGACTTTTTTCCGAGGAATAATTTGTTACAATCAATTTTTGCCCACGCATTCTTTAACGGAATATTTAACAGCTTATAAAAAGATTTTTCCTTAATAACTTGAATGAAGTAGTATTATAGAAAATTAATAGGTTAATAAGAAGTCTTTAATTAACGAAAATAAAATCACCAGCAACTGACAATCCTCTCAACCCGAGCAATACAAAGTAGTACATAGCTTTGAAAGGCACACTCGTCTTTATTTAATTATACAAAGTGCTTCCATTTCTTAAATCAAAGCCAAATTTCGGAATTTCAATTCGAATTTGTAATTGTGTTTTACTACAATGAAGTCATCCGCTCGACTTCGATGCAAATTTCGTCTATAGAGAAGAAAGCAAAGAGCCATAACTCGAATCGATTTCAGTGTGTGCGGCATCCAGCACTTTCAAAGGGCCGGCCATCGACACCTCAACCTCTTCCAAGCCACATACTACGTCGTGGTAACCTTCTCGACAGTGGGCTACGGCGACTTCGTTCCCGACATCTGGCCCTCTCAGCTCTACATGGTGATAATGATTTGTGTCGCCCTCATTGTGCTGCCCACACAGGTAAGCTTCCCAGAGCACCCTTGAGACTCAACGTGACTCATAAAGTATCATAATTTGCAGTTCGAGCAGCTAGCCTTCACGTGGATGGAGCGCCAGAAGCTGGGGGGCTCCTATTCGTCCCACCGTGCCCAGAGCGAGAAGCACGTGGTGGTGTGCAGCACGACGCTGCACGCGGACACCATCATGGACTTCCTCAACGAGTTCTACGCCCATCCGCTGCTGCAGGACTACTACGTGGTGCTGCTGTCGCCCATGGAGTTGGACACCACTATGCGGATGATCCTCCAAGTGCCTATCTGGGCCCAGAGGGTCATCTACATCCAAGGCTCGTGTCTGAAAGACGGGGACTTGGCGAGGGCGCGTATGAACGAGGCGGAGGCCTGTTTTGTGCTGGCCGCCAGAAATTATGCGGACAAAACGGCAGCGGTGAGTTTAATTACGGAATTGTATTGTGCAAAGGACGGGAAAACGCGAATGCGAATGGCAGGTAGAAGAGGAAACGTTGCGGTTGTTGCTCGAATTGTGCGTTACATTCAATTTCCAATTAGGGTTATGATGGTTTAATGGAAATAAATTATTAGATGCTGTTTACGCAATCGATATATGGGATGATTTATTGGCAAAAGGTTACAATAAGTTTTTCCATGTTGAGATTACCACGCTTAATTATTTGGGAAATTGTGCTTGTCTCATTTTCCAAGTTATTGGATGAAAGCTTTTGTTGATTTTGTTGTCGAAGCATTCACGATAATAATAAGCAAAAACACTTTTCAATTGGAAAAATCACGTTATTTTGATTTTTATATTTACAAAAAATTCAACAGTTATTAATTTTAAAAATTATAACAATATTGGTCTCAGTTAGTCTATGTTTAAAATAAAAAAAGTGGAGGCTGCTCTGAAAAATAATACCTATTTTTTTTACCTAATATTTCAAGTAACTAACTTTGTGAGTTAAAAGTTGATGTTCTGAGGCTAATTTTGTTAATCGATTGTAATATTATAGTCGATAATTTCCTTATCCAAATTAATAAATAAGGAGGCAGCAACGAAATAAATGTCGTTGAGTGTGATTAAATATTTGTGTTATAAATTCTAATGATACGAGAAACACATTTGTATTTATTGTGGAAGATATAAACGCTATCATAAAAGCTTTTTTAGATCTCGTTTGGGACAAGCTTTTAGAGTTATGGTTTTGGCCGCCATCAGACATCAGATAGGACAATGTTTTGTTTTTATTGGCAAGTCTAAATATCCTAGGATACTGACTTTTATATTTAAGGAAGTTGATGCTCGAATTTATACAATAGCATAAAGAACAAAAAGTGCTTTCTGTAGCTTACTATAAATAATATTAAGAAAAAAAGGTATTATATTAAAAATGCTTAAAAGCGAAAAGCATATGGCGTAAATTATAAAAGTGGCGACAATAATCCTTTTATAAGCTTTATTTAAAAATGTTTCAGGATAAGAGTAGTGAAACTTTTATCCTTAACTTGGAAAATGTTTATCACATGTGGAAAATTAAAAGTAACAAAATGAAATAAAACATTGTCAGAAGTACATTGTGAAGTTTTTACATAAAATATGGTTGCTATTCTTCTTTTTCATTATGAATCTAGCACTGATACTTTTTCAATAATTTTCTGTTGAGCTTGTCTCTCGCCTGATTTGGTCACTTTATATTCTGTTGTAATAAAAATAAAAAGACGTAACTCAGTCTAGGAATAATATAAAAAGGCACTAACCTTTACCGCATCTGAAATTTAAATCTAATCTTTCAGTTGTCTGTAATGGAATAAGTATTGCATTCTTTCCATATTGCTGGAGCGGTAGCAGAGGTCGTTGAATAATGTTAAGTAGGTAGTGTGCAAGTCGAGAAATATGCAGTATACATGGAACAAAATTAGTTATAACTTATATTATTTTATAAAATATATGTAAAACAATTTACACACTTTGTGTTTTTTTAATTGCTTTGTTGCTACATTGCACTTTGATGTCGTTTATTTGGCAAAATATTCGTTATGCTCGAATAATTAGCCATTCACAGAATTTAGTGTAACAATTCGGTTGCCTGTAGAACTGAAACGTGACACATAAAATTGAAATGTCGCCTATAACTTGAAATCATAAAACTCAAATATAACCAGTTGTGCTAGCCAACAAAAGGCAACTTTTTCCATTTGTAACTTTACACTCCAATTTTATTGAATTTGCCATTACACCTAAAAGGTTCAAGCCCAAAACTCTTCTTTTTAAAGTTCCCAAATACTCAAATTTAATTTTTCAATTAAGCTGATCGCTTCTAAGGCCGAAGATGTATTTATAAAGCGGCGATATCGCCGCTCACCACCTTACCCACATCTTAATTAATTCCAAGTTTATTTGACCAGGTCTGCAATTTGTTTTCGAGGGAAAATTCAGATTAATTGAATTTATAACAAATATGTTTTCATAACTTAGGGAAAAGTAATTACCGAGAAGTAGAAATTTTTGTATTAATTCTGGCTAAAACATTTCAGCAACACGCACCGCTGATGAACTTTTTGCTTTCAGCAACGTTTTAGTTAATTAATTTTTTTCAGGATGAACACACGATACTGAGGTCGTGGGCCGTAAAAGACTTCGCTCCAAATGTCGCACAATATGTCCAGATTTTTCGGCCTGAAAACAAAATTCACGTCAAGTTTGCGGAATACGTGGTTTGCGAGGACGAGTTCAAGTACGCCCTTCTGGCAAACAACTGCACTTGTCCAGGGGCCTCCACTCTAGTGACGCTACTTCTTCACACTTCCAGGGGGCAGTAAGTGACTCTGCTGTTGCTTCGTGTTAATTTGTATTCACGAATGAATCAGATAATATGTAAAACTTTCTTGTATTTTTCCGAGTTTTCTCTTAAGACGTGCAAAGACGTGATCTCAGGTAGATAGGTCACGCTGAGATGCATGAAAATTGCAATTTTGTTCCAGAACGAGTGTCTCGCTGTTTGTATGAAGTCATAGTTTTACAAAAGTAGAATATGAAAATTTATGCCAAGTCTTAAATTTGCATAAAGGAAATCTTACTAAAGACATACACAAAGCAACACGACCCGTTTAAAAATTGCCACTTTATTTCCAGGATTTAACCCTTCAGGCTTTTAGAATAAAGGAGCCGCTTGTTAAAGTGCTTAACGAGCCGTTGTCTAAATATGAGAGAACATTTTTCTTAGTTCTTCATGCTTTGCAGGATATATAAGCAACTAAAATCACGTTTCATATTTATTTTGTATAGCTAATAAAATATTTAGTCACGTTTTGACATGAACAGAAGAAATCGTTTCTTTGGATGAGTGCTACTTGTTTCCAGGGAAGGACAACAGTCTCAAGAAGAGTGGCACCGCTTGTATGGGCGCTGTTCTGGCAACGAAATCTACCATATCACCCTGGGCGATAGCCGATTCTTTGGCGAATATGAAGGCAAGAGCTTCACATACGCCAGCTTCCATTCGCACAGAAAGTAGGTAAATTTGTCGATCCTTCTAACCGTCCCTTCCTGTCTTTTAGCTCTTTTGGTTCACTGTTGACTTTGCTCAGATATGGGGTGGCTTTGGTGGGCGTGCGTCCAGCCGAACTACCGGAATTTTACGAAGACACTATCCTGCTGAACCCCGGTCCTAGACACATCATGAAGAAGAGTGACACTTGCTATTACATGAGCATCACCAAGGAGGAAAACTCATCGTTCACGGTCGCCAATCAACCACAGGGCAACAATAATAACACTTCAACGGAACCTGTGATTGTTACGGCGGAAGAAAAGAGTCAAGCACCCGCCACCAAAGACGGTACCGGCCCTCCTCAACTAATTCTGCAAGTTCCCACCTGTGTCAGTGAGTGTTGTCGCGCATGTTTTAGCATTTTTATGAGATGCTGGTGGCAAGCTGGGCCTCCAGGGGACTTGCAAACGCTTTCCTTGAATGTGAAAGATAAAATAAAATGGCATTTTGCTTTTAATAATGTTTTGGTTTTATCGAGATTGACAGAAACAAGAAAAAAAAGGCTTAAATTTTTAGTCAATCTGTCGTAAATTTTACGACGAAAACGCTAATCAATAGCTCGTGGTTTGTGTAAATTACTCTACAAAGACATTTAATTTTTTGGTTAGGTAATTGCTCTATTCAGTGATAATAATTAGAAGACATAAATCTTGCAGCACAAGAATGGATTAACTCCGATTAAAATTATGTACGTTCAAGCGTCCGGGGATTATTAACTAAATCAGTTGGCTTGAATAAATTACAAATTTATTGTATCTGCCCACAAACTTGTTTCAAAAGTTTCAAAATATTTAATAAACTAATTTACTGTAATAGTCAGTATTGCTATGTTTTTTTCAGTATGTCTACGTATTTTACTAACGTTTTTCTCTTTTATTATGGACTATTTTCAGCAAAACATAATTTTAGATAATGTGTATTTATATTGCCATACTTAATATGCGAGTAAATTTTATTCAGCTCTGTCGCAAGTTGAATTACAGTAATAAATTAATGAATTTAGTAAATATGATTTTTTTTAAATGGTTACTCATAATTTTTCCTAAATTAAGTCTGCACTTTGCTGCTTTCTATAAAACTTGGGCAAATAAAAATTTGAAATAGAACAGATTGTATTTAAGAGTACTAAATTTGATAAACCTTAGTTTTTACTTATGTAATTAAAACAAAAAAACAATTTATAGTTTTGGACAGAGTCGTTAGCAATTATTCCCATCGTCATATCAGAACTTTGGGAAAGGATCATCTAGGAAAGGCCTCTTGTTATATAATGTTCGTTTTTATGGCGGTAGTAACATTTAAATCATCACTTTAGGCTGTGATTCTAAGGTTCACTAAAATTCCTGTAATACACCACGAAATGTAGACATAAGCAGTAGTTAATGGACGGAACCAACTTGTAGCTTAGATCGACAAAAACGAGATCTAACCGTTTAATGTCCTTCTAGGGGAGATATAAAAATGGCATTTTATTTTTTTTATTGCTTCTCGAATTGAACAGGAAAGCACGCAAGTTTCCCAAAAGCCCCTTCCAACATAAACAAATAATTGTCAACTTGACCTGATGTTAGATAAGCATGAGGATGAGAAAATATTCTAGACTCCTAACATAAGCAATTTTTTGACTACTCGTTATTGTCTTGATGAAAGGTGAGTCATATTGTTTCTTTCGCACAAAATTCCGAAAAATGTACATTATTTCACTGGGATTACAGTTACGAGTATAATATTTTTCTTATATTGAATGTCGGGTCATAAACCGGGAAATCTGTTGTCAGGAATGTTTCATCTTAAGAAAACGTTTTATTCTTTACATCATCTGCGGATTTATTTGGAGTAGATTTGTTTCTCAAGAGATTTGAAGGAGTAGTATAATGCACACCATTTTCGCTATAAAATCTAAATCCTTTACTTTCTGCGATGATGAGTGTGCGAAGCAGAAGGAAGTTCGCAAACATGATTAAATCGCCGAGATTTTCCATCGTATGCAAACGATAAAATGAATTGTTCATGAGGAAATTTACTTTACTTTAGACCCACAAACTTTCCGGTTCATATGTGTAAACCACGTTAGATTGTTTCCAAAGTAATACTTTGAAGTGATTGTTCACCCAAAAATCGGCCATTCACTCAGCTTATTGATGTGGTGTCCCAAAGTTGTAAAAACCGATCACAGCTGCTAACAACCAATCTAGTCGCTTTACATGTTTCGCACTTGAACAAAAATTCAGTCGGTTTTTCGCTAAATTTTTGAAATGCAAATCTTCGATAGCCACGTTTCCGGACAATGCCGGGCTGAGCGACTCCAGGCAGTGTTTGAAGGAGTCCTCACCCGGATCCACAACGATCGACGTGTCAATAACAGGCAACCATCTGGACATCCCACGAAGCGGCGACAACCCTAACCTCCTTAGCCCGGAAATAATAAACCAGCGCCGGAACTCCCGGAGGCCCAGCATCCTGCCCGTGCCGGACATGTTCACCAGCTCTTCGTTGAATATCCCACAGGACGTGGCGGACGAAGGCGACGAGAGCGAGGATGAGCTGGAGGACGACGTCCCGTGGCGATCGCCCAGCGAGAAAATAGCGTAAGGTTTTTTTAGACCTTGCATGTTCTAGTCAGATAATATGTCAAAGGGTTTATCTCAAGATTAGATTTACCTTAGCTTAGTGCAATTGTGACCGCTATAACTCTGTCTCTGCTCTCTTTCTCTGGAGCTTTGTGTTTGTTTCTCACTCTTTCACCTTCTTATCATGTCCTGGTGTTTCTGTGGGCACGGTCATGACTTGCACAATTATAGCTCTGTCTCTTGATCACTCTGTCCGATCCTTGCACTCCCTAGGTCCAGTCTTACAGACGACTCTGGGGACTCGGAGAGACCCGCATGGCATGACGAATGTGCCCGGTAAGTTCAAACTTTTTTTAAATATTTTATTAGTTTCCTTTTCTCTACAGACAAGATTTAGTCTTGGTGCATGTTGTTGACATAGCTACCATACTGTTATTTTATTTAGTTTTTCGAACTATTCTTCCAAATTTTTACTGTATATACCTACTGTAAATGCTTGTCTACGTTTTGTACCGTACGACCAATAGGATAGATAGATCGCCTTTGTCTTTATCAGTACAACTACAACATATTAGTCTAGTCAACAAACAAATTGTAGCATTGCTGAAAACATAATTTTTGAATTTAAAGCTGTATTTGGATTAGTTGGGAAATAAACATATTAAAACTATTTGGTCCTCCGGAGAAAGAAGACGATGTTTCGTACTTTTACTTATATTCCGAGAAGGGTGGGTGTCAAAATAAAATGATGCATATAAAATTAGAGCTTATAAAATTTTCTAGAAAATGGCCTTTTGCAGTTTTTTGTACATATCTCAAATTGTTGTCGAGATATTTGCTAGCAAATTTCGCACTTTCTTAAAAAAGTTATTAATTAAATTATTAATTAACGTAAATGTTGTTGTAAAAGTAGTAAGCATTGTGATTGGGCCGTTTAAGGTCGGCCATTATAATATTGTAAACAACCAATAAAAAATTTAATACAATGATGTGATTGGTCCGTCTGAAGTCGGCCATTATAATAATGTGAGAAGCCAATCACTTTAAATTTTAGGTGTGTGCCCTTTATTGTGAATAGGCGATGAAGATACGAAAACGAAAATTTTCTTTGAATGTGAAAATTTTTATGCAAGGAGTGAAATATAACCTCACATTGTTGGAATTACGTATATAAGGGAAGTAAGATACAAAAAATCCGAAAAACGCGTCTTGTAGAAAATTTTATAAGCTTTAATTTTGTACATAACCATTTTTTTCATAACACTTAGGTACCTTAAAACGTCATCTTATTTATGTTTATATTTTGACTAGTCCAAAGATCGCCTTAAAGACAAAAATTCTGTTCTACAACCCCTCTAAAGGTAAAACAAAGTGTTACTAAGGTCTTTGACTTTCCACTAAAAATCTGATTATGTAGTGAAATTTGTACAGATATTTTGATATGATTATCTCTAAAAGGAAAAAAAATAAAATTTAGTTTCTAAAAATTAAATTCATTTTACTACTTTGTTCTAAAATGTAAAAGAAGATAAGGCGTAATAATGCAATAACAACTAGGAATTTTGATGTGTTTTAAGAACTTAAATTTCATAAAATAATGACAGTTACATTAATTTAATGAAATTTATGCTATCTGATATCTTGCAGATCAATTATAACAAAAGTAACTTTATAATATCTTTTATTCTACTACTCATCGCCCGGCGCATCCACCATTTATCTCATTTATAAATTAAATACCGATTTCCGGAAAAATCGTTGAAAGATTTTGAGGGAGGGTTTTCTAGGTCAAAATAAGACAAAACATTCTTATAAACTTATATCTGGACATGTTTCCTGAGAGAACTAGCCCCCATAAAAATGGCAGACAAAAGGGGCCTTTTTTCAATTAACTCAATAACCGGTGGACACAAATTTACGTGGAGTAAATTTTTAGCGAACAATTGAATACAGAAATCGTATAAGTACCATAATTAGGGGGACAGAAGCATTTGGTTCAATCTATTTAAGACGTAAAATTTTGCTCTGGAAAAAGTTGTTTGAAATTTTTTGGCGGATGTGGATTTATTGGTTAATTTTTTTCAAAAAAATTATTATTTTTGTCCGATGCACCGTTCTTGTGAAAAACAAGTTTTTTTTTCTTAACCGTACATCGACCCTATAATTCAAAAAAGCAATCCAAGCACTGAGTTTTTTATTATTCGGTGGAGCATTTCTAAACATACGTCCATAAGAACTTGTTTTTTTTTTTATTTTTACCCAAGGACCCACCTTCCGAAAACTTTCAACGTTTTTTCCGGACACCCTGCATAAAAAGCATAAATTTCTTAAAACAAAAGAAATTTATAATAAAAATATACTGAAAATTTATTATGTATGGGTTTGCCTACAAGCACACAAGCCTTTGCTGTTACGAATACATGTTTATTTAATAAACGAAATATTGTTTCAAATTTCAATTGACTAATTATTACATGAGTGAACATTTGCCCGTGTTAATTAAATAAAAAACGAATTGTCTTTGTTGCGGCAAAAACAGGAAAGTCGAAGATTTTTTGTCAAAATGAACTTGTCCTTTGCTTTAACTATATCACCTTAAACGATGAAATTATGTGTACACTTTATATTATTTTAAAAAATGTCTGTACAAATTTTATTATTACTTGGATTTTTAGTTTTACAATAAACGGACTGTTTCAACTTTGTAGGTAGATAAAATTTTTGAACATTTATATGCTAACAAATAATTACTACACTCCGAAATATTCTAAAATCATCAAGAAGCATTTAAACTGACCAAATAAGAAAACTTATTGATAAGTGATAAATCAGTATTTATTACGTTAATATTTTTTGTTAAATTCCATTTTATGTATTTCCATCTCGTTTGACCCAGATCAGCATTTTATGGCACACTCGTAATGTAATAAAATTAATTAAGCGAGTTTATCTAAGATTGATGATAAAGGAAGAGGCTTTACTAAAAGCACCGTAAATGAGGATTTACATTTAGCTATAGCGCATGCAAAATACATGAAAGGAACTATAAATTTACAAAGAACACAGAAATATTACCTGAAACGGCTAAATTACTAGACAAAAGTTGTAACAGTCTTAATTTCCAAGTGTCGAGTTGGGGCTTAATGCGCGATTTGAGTATTTTTAAAGTCTGACAAAAGTATCCACAGAAATTTACAAATTCAGCCGAACTAACAGCTTTGCTTATTGCTTCAACATCAATCCCTCGAAGTACCCATAACCCTCAACATTATTGATATTATTCACGCAGCATCGTAAAAGGTTTCCCACCAGTGTCACCATACATCGGAGTTAGCCCCACCCTGTGTTACTTGCTCAAAGAAAAGAAGCCTTTGTGCTGTTTGCAACTAGCTCAAGTGTGCGAACACTGCAGCTACCGTAACGCTCGCGATTACCAATGGCAAAACAAGACCATCATCTTGGCGGCCGATTACGCCTCCAACGGAATCTACAACTTTATCATACCGTTGAGGGCGCATTTCCGATCCAAGACCTCGCTCAATCCGATCATATTGCTGCTGGAAAGGCGTCCGGATATTGCATTCTTGGATGCTATTTCGTACTTTCCTCTTGTTTACTGGATGCTGGGGACAATTGATTGGTGAGGAATGCGATTTTTTCAACAACAACACTTGACCATTGATATTCTCTTCCAGTTTGGATGATTTGCTCCGAGCTGGGATCACGCTAGCGGAAAATGTTGTTGTAGTTAATAAGGAGTTGTCGAATTCGGCCGAAGAGGATTCCCTCGCGGATTGCAATACAATAGTGGCGGTACAAACGATGTTCAAGTAAGTGCACTTTTTCACAATCAATGATTTCGGACTCGAAAATAAATAAATTCTGGTTAGGGCAGTAAAGAGTAGACCCTGTCAGTTGATAGAAATAAATTGTTGTGCGGTGGATGAGGATTGATGGTCACGTTTAATTTTAAATCTCTTCGAGAATTTATCTATTGCGAGAAGGTGAAAAGTTGTGTGTCTGAGTCCGTTTTGTTGAAATTTTAATTGGACTTGTTAAAGCAATTTCCTGACGTTTTTCTCAATTTTTTGTTTTCTTCTCACCTTTCAAGTACACTTGGATGGACACGTTCTATTGTTTTGATTTATTTTCAGGTTTTTTCCCAGCATTAAAAGCATCACGGAGCTTTCCCAATCATCCAACATGCGATTCATGCAGTTCAGAGCACACGACAAATATGCACTCCATCTATCCAAAATGGAAAAGGTAAATATGAAACCTTTTCATGGACACGTTTTTCCGGTGAGTGAGTGGGGAAAAGTCTGATTTGTTTTTTACGCAAACATTATTTTCCGACATGCTTTCTAAACAAAAAGTTCCCACTTTCCTGTTGGAGTGTACATATTTTCATCAAATTTAAATAAATTCGGTGAACTTTGGAAGTCACCGCTTTATTAAATATTGAAGCTTTTCATAAAATCGTACTTCTATTATAGGCATGACAAAGGGAATATCGATGCGTATGTACCTATTTTAATAATAATTTTTGCATATTTTTTGACAATATGAGTTTGCTTTCCTTTTTACACGATCAGGTAGGGCGAATTCAAAGACACGTGTTTACTACTTTCTGAGGATGTTTGCAAGATTCTACATTCAAATAATTACATTTACTTTTAATTTGCAATGGAATATGAATAAACATACCTACCTTTGAGGTAACATTACAAACAAATATGTAAAATTAGTTTATATTTTTACATTTAATTTATTTACCATAATATTTACCATAGCATTCATTTTATTTAATGCATTTAGAATACAATTGAATCTATAAAACTTTTATATTGTTTATGTTATTTTATTTTAAATTAATTTGTCGTAAATCGAATTGAAACAAAATACATACATACAACCGTGTAAAAATTTTAACTTTGCAAAAGAATTGTGGATAATTAGTTATTTGAATTGTTTTAGGACCAAAAAATATCTCAGAAACTAGAAAACACTGATTTGTTTGCAAATAACTTTATTTACCTAATAACTTGTGGAAATACTGTAGAAAGCATCTGTGCTATAGTTTCTACTTATGCATTTTACATAATCTTTTATAATAAATACTTTTAAAATAACATTCAAAACATATTTTATCTAATATTGCTTATTTATTTGGTTACTTACTAATTGAATATTTTTGTTAGTCGATAATAAAGCAAAAAAAGAATTCTTTTATTGTAATTAAACAAATATGCACAATACATATTTTGGCGTGTTATAAAATAAATATACAGGCTGTCCCAGCGCGTTGGTAAAGTTTATTTATTATCTTCTATTATTTTTATTCTTTTATTTATTCATAACTTCATAAGCCATTCTCATTACACATATACACTCTGAAATGGAAATACACAAAAATATTTAAACCTATTGATCTTGAGAAACTGTGCGTTTTTGAAAATATGTGGCCTGCAATTTCACGCTGTCGGTATTTATAACAATAATTGTTAATAATTATTTTAAAATATTTTTTTTAATAATGAATGAAAATTTGAGTTTAATAAAGAACGGTTAATTGGTTATGTAAACACTATCAGGCAAAACAATTAATAAAATAAAAAAACGTATATCAAATGAAATTCAGTTGATTAGCATTTTTTTTTTGATTTTGTGTATAATGCATTATCCAAAATAAAAGAAGAGGTTTTGCTGTAGTTTGATAAACGCGTTATGGAACAGTTATGTGAAGTTAAAACAATATAAAAAATATTTATTTGCATAGATCTAGGCCGATGCTAAATTATTATCACACAGTCTGCTTTATCATTTGGTAGTTGTTAATAATCTTAATTAGTGATAGTACTTGTCGATTGTTCTTGGAATTCTGTTGCTAATTATTTTCACGTAAATCGTAAAACCAGATTTGGAAACTTCTGTATGTTTGTCACGAAACTTCTTTCGCCAACAAAAATAAACGTACTTAGGATCTTGTTGCCAAACTTAGTTAAACACATTGAACAAAAGTTGCTTGGTATGTGGTTTGACTGAATGCTTTTGTTGGTTGATTTACTCACCTGTTCCTTTTTCCTACTTTAAAGCTTAATGGATGATTTCTCAAAGCACTGCCAAACTTATTTCCTGCCAAGACTCAATAGTGGATATCATTGACTAGCTTTGACAAATCTACTTTTTTTTCTTGCTTCTGGAAACATCCCAACTTTGATAGTTATCGCAATAATCCAAAACTCTTGCATTCCAGAGGGAAAAGGAGCGAGGTTCTCACATTTCGTATATGTTTCGTCTGCCTTTCGCGGCCGGCAGCGTATTTAGCGCCAGCATGCTGGACACGTTGCTCTATCAGGCCTTCGTCAAGGACTATGTAATCACCTTCGTTCGACTTCTGTTGGGAATCGATCAAGCTCCCGGTTCCGGCTTCCTCACTTCGGTAAGTTTGTCAAAAGTCCAAGAAGTTCGCTCAAATTGCTGTTCTAGATGAAGATTACTAAGGATGATATGTGGATAAGAACTTACGGGCGGTTGTATCAGAAATTGTGTTCGACGACTTGCGAAATTCCTATCGGTATTTATCGGACTCAAGACACTTCTCTATCGGACTCCTCTCATGTGAGTATGAGCGCCCCTTCATCCGCCTGGTCGAGCTGCGTGCGTGTGCCATCGGTGAGTATTGCGAAACTTTTTCTTTTCCGAATCGTATTTGTGGGCATTTGCGAAATTACATAGTTGGCGAATTATTTATACGCACTCTTTTCTTCAAGCACCACTAAGCGGTTTATTTGCTTTGCTTTTGCACAGTTACAGGCCGCGAAAGCCTTTATTTAGTTTTGTAGTGAGGTTCGAAATAAAAGATTTTATATATGCTTTCCGTTTTAATGAATGATAGATACTTGAAATAATTTCAATTTCTGGAAAAATCTACAAAATTTTGATGACAAATTTAAATGAAAAATTTTTAAAAAATGGATAACATGGAGTTGTTAATTAAAATGTATGTTTTCTTAATGAAAATTTATGAATCTTGGAATAATTGTAGTTCCATATAATATTATTTTAAAACTATTAAAAATTCTAAAACATTTATTAATATTTAGTTAAATAAAGCTGTAACTTTGGTATGATAATAAAAGAAATAAAGAAACAAAATGTAGATTTAGAAAACATTTTTAAGAATTATGAAATTAGTATATTTGTAGAATTAGGAATCCGTGTTAAAAACTACTTAAAAGCCTAAAAAGCTTCGCTTAGTTTTCAAAGTGATCTACAAATATCAATGAAGAGTATTAATTTCTAATTTGTATGAAAATATTTTATATGTGTAGAGATACAGAAGCCAATTAGTAAGTCAAGTTATATTAAAAATGAGATAATTAAATATTTTAAAAATTTGTTATATAAAAAACGCTTGACAAACAAAATCATTGTTGAATGAGAATTGATAATATTTTAAAGTAATGACTTAGTGCAAAACCAACTGAAAGATTTAACAATACAGTATTTCTGAATCACATAAATCATTTTGAAAAAAATTGTTACTTAACTGATTGGCTTCTGAACCCTTCATACAAATCGTCAATAAAATTGAAAAACACTTATCTACAGTAATATTTTAAAAACAACTTACTAAAATTATATGAAACTTTGCACTCCTATATAAATATCCTTAAGATTTACGGTCTGTATTTTTTCAGGTTTGCTTTTAAAACTAACTCGGTTTGAGAAAAGTAAAGATATATGTTTTATTTTTACCCCAATGCCTATTTGTTATTTTGTAATTCTTACAATGTAGTGGTTGCAAACAAGTTGTTTTTTGTAAGAAAATGCATATTTATCATTGTTTAATGTTTCTTATTTTATGGTTAGAGGTGTTTTGTTTTGTGTGTTTTTTAAGTAAAACACAATAGTGGTCGTAGCACTTTACTTTAAAATATAGTCGTTTTAAGACCTAAGTCTTTGTGCTTTACATATTTATAGTCAGGTGTTTACGAACTGGAATAAATCCGACTAAATCTCAGTTTCCCAAAAAAGTCTGAGATATTTATCCAAATGCGGTTTTAATTAGATCTGACTTTCCTTGTAATTAATGTTATTATGTTGATGATACTGCTATAACGATCCAAAACTTGAGCGAGACCTGTAAAGTTTCTAATTAACGCGAACATTTCTGCACATTTTCGTTCACCAAAAGGATAAAAGAACTTCATGCTTTCTGTGTTTAATTATGATCCATATATCATTATTTGAATCGCAAGCTTTGTCCCTAATTTAGTCAACTATCTGAGTTAAAACATTTTTTTCTTGTAATTAGATTTAGAAAAATTTTAGATTAGGATTTCGTAAATGCCCACGCGAATCGATGTTGTAACAAGCGACACATTGTGATATACTTCTTGGGACCACTATCAGCGAAAGCACACGCACCGACAGCGTCCAAGAAGAATCAGCTTTGAATTTTCATATCCTTGGCATGAGCTATGTAAGCGCACGAAATCTAACATCTAACTTTGATCTATCGGAATGCGTGAATGTTGTCACACTGCCAATTTATCGCCAATTGTAATACACAAAATGTCTTTCTTTCTAATGAAGAGGGAAGGAGTTTTAACTATTAGCGAATCTAACTGCATTGATATAGCAAAGTAGTGCACGTAACTAGTTGCGGCTTTTCCGTTAGCTTGACGAGGAACTTGGACCCGACAGAGTAGGTGTAACTTACCGACCTAAGGAGGGCACCAATTGCTTGGGGTGTACTGATCGACGTAACTCGATGGTGAGTTGACTAACTCTTCCAAGAAGGTCTCATTCGAGGCTTGTCATGGCCAGAATATGAAAAGTGAGCTAATAAACACTTTTCACGTTCTGCATTTGCACAAATTTGCGACCGCATCTTTGCCACTTTGTAACCACACTCGTAAATCCTTTATTGCCTTCTTGAAACTCTCTTAAATCTAGCTATAGATAAGAGCTATCATCGCTTTGCATCATCAGTTTTAGACACACTTCAACAAACGTATTTTTTGAATCCAATCTTAATCATTCTTTGTACATGTTATGCAGTTTTCCATCAATATGGCGGACGAAGCAAAGGATAATCATGAACAACAGATCGAAAGAGCCGAAATAGCTAATCTTGTTAGATCAAGAATGGAAAGTTTAAATCTACCAACAATTGATTATAACGACGTTAGCGAGAAAAGAAATAGTTTGTCCTATGTCATCATCAATCCTAGTTGCGACCTAAAGTTAGAAGAAGGCGACATTATGTGAGTACTCCTTGTGCCTTATACCATAAGTAAAAAAATTCTATATTACACAAGCGACTCTATTATAAGTCTCTTTTTTGGAGATATTTCTTATTTGAATTGTAGATTTGTAGATTTTTTACATAGACTTATTTTACTTCTAAAAAAACTGTTGCCAGTGTGGGCAAGTAAAGTAAATTTTTTGCTAAGACCTGCTAAAAATTTTATGACACTTTATAAGGGATTAACCAAACAATGGCTTGTATTTGTAACCCTCCATAAATGGCACGTTCCTTTGTAAGTGTTATTGCACCCAACACAACAAAACAGGGCCGTATTTAAGGCAAAGTAGAGGTACTGTTTTAACGAGCTATCATTAAAAAATTATTTTTATTGATACTCTTTTGCTGGTGACATCGGTTTAATTGTAGTTTACCTTACCGCATTGTCATAAGATATAATAATAATACCAATAAATTACTGATAACTTTATTACAAATATAAAAACAATTGAAATAAATATATGGCCACTTAAGTATAACTTTTTCGATTAGAGGGGCCTCCTTCATCTGATACGAAACTAATCATTACAATGTCCTCATTTTCTTCCACCAATTCTGATGACTCGATGTTGTCAAAATCGACGGGACCCCACATAGCCATTTCAAATATTTCAAAAAATTTTGCAAAGCAACAATCACTTACGGAGGCTCAGAAGAAAATTAATAGTCACTCACGAAAGTCAAAATAAAATGAAAAGAAAGTTTTAAAGTTTTGCAAAATTACCTGATGCTTAAAAGTGTTTGTTTTTCCTAAAATTCCCAGAAGATTACCTGCCCCATTTTAATAATAACTTGTCATTAACCATCTGGCCTTTTGAAATTTCTTTAAAAAATTACTTGACTTCAATAACAATTACATCAAATATTTTAAGTAAGCTGCGACGCGACGTGCGTTCATTAAAAAAACTCATGCAAAAGGACAACGAAATTTTTTAGATCCAGTGCATTACCATAGAAAATAGAATATACTTAATTAGAGAGGATTACAGAATTTGGAAAGTACTGGTCTCTTCCCTTTCAGACAAGAAAAAAGTAAATAATCCGACCCTGTTAAAAACTGACCTGTTTCCTTCGTTTCTCGGCCCGGGTGGGTTTCACTGATTTATGATATGTTTACCTTCTGGTTTACTCTCAACAATACCGCATTTAACTTAAAAGTAATAAAAGTTTTAGTAGGTCTTAGCAAAACGATTTAACTGTAGATGGAAATATCGTGTCGTTTTTTGTTTTAGTTATCTGGTTCGTCCGAGTCCTTTTTCGGCCCAAAAGACTTTCGAACGCCACAACAGCCGTCGCAAATCGAACATTAGCTTCTGTTCGCAGACCCTCATCCAGCAAATGGCGGCGGCGTCTCAAGCCGGCAGTCGTCGTGGTTCCGGTTTAGGGCTAACCGGGTACCAATCTCCGCGACCTCCGCCACTGTCCACCACCAAATCAAACTCTCTTTCCCTACCTGACAGTCCGACAGTGGCGGGGTACCAGCGAGGCCGCTCCAACTCCTTGCGAGTCATCGACGATATCCTTCTTCGTAGATCAAACTCACTCAGGCAGGGATTGACCAGTGTAGGTAGTGGGCGAAGGAAAAGCAGTTTAGAGGATATAGGACTATCACATTTCTCAACAAATTATAATAATCCGATCAAAATAGCCTTGAATGGGAGTATAGGCTTGGAGGTGACTCCTCCGGAGGAGAACAGTCCACCGGTGATTTCTAGTAATACAGCTATGGTGGTGAACGCGCAACTACCGACTACTCCACACACCGGAAGCACCATAAGCTTAGCACAAAGTGGCCTGCCTAGTTCTAGTAGTTCTTTACCTCAACCGCTCAACCTCGGCATCAACGTGCCTACGAACTTCGGGGAGGCGGCGCCGGTGCAGCAAGCAGCGTTGCCGCCGTCGTCCGCCGCGACGGATCCGCAGCACCTTCAAGGGACGATCGTATGATATAACCTCATGTGGGGGAGGAGAATGGGTAGCTTAAGGAACAAGTGGCTCTAGATCCTCACTTCCACAGTAGAAACTCGAGGCCGTAGTTTGTAGCTCGCCTCGGGATAGTCTCTAGGTCCGGTCTCCCTGAGAAGTTCAGCGGTTTCTTTGCAAAATTTAGTTTAGTATAACTTAGGGGCAGACCTGACTACTACCATTTTTGGCCTTATTAACTTTCTATCAGAAATTTAGACTGATACGTTTGTAAAAATTGTTCTTCGCCAGTCGGCCTGGCCTAGCCAAATTTTTCTGTAACGGTTGTAGTCTCCTGGTCGTACCAAACGAACACCAGGCCTAGTTCGACGATTTACGACTCATCTAAAAAATCATTCTTAGTAGCCACCCACCAATAACACACATCAAGGCACTAGTTTTATGTCGATATTCTCTCATTGACGACTTTTTTTTCCTAAGACTGATTCTAGACTCGTGTTTTTTGGATGAGTGGTCCAGATCAGTAATGCGCTACATAGCTCAATAGATTTACTATTTGTAGTTTCGTTTGTAAATAACTTGAACTGTCTCTTCCACGCAGGCCAAAGGCTGCTTATCAGTATAATTCGTTCAGGTATGTTGAATGAGGGATCAAATACTGTAGTTAGAATATCTGTTGGTAAAGTTCAATCTATAACCCACACCGAGCTATAAACAGCGATCATTCTCCTTAATTCAATCAAAATTTTCAACTTCTTAATTGCAAATGAGAAGTTTGCAGGTGCATTGGAAGTGGAATGGTTTCTGCGAATTGCTCGGTGTTTTCTGAGAGAGATTATCGCTTAATCTCGCAAGGTGGGTACGTTTTCGTACCGCAACGATTCTTACTTTTGTGCACTCTGTTTTTCTTCAGCATTCGTATTGTTTGTGGTGTTTCCTCAAATCAAAATCAAAATATACGTCGAAAAGCGGAATAAGTTTAGATTTGCTTTGGTAGATTAGTGTAAACCGTCCATGCTAGTTTTCTGTTCATGTCCACCGACATGTCTAGAATCCCTTGAGCTGTAACTATTAGACAAAGACTGTGGGTGTGGTCCAATATAATCGCGACGTATAAGTACACTTATTAAACAAAAAAGAAAACATATCTAAAGAAATAAGTGTCGTAGACATATATTTTTCTAGAGTGACGAAATTGTGAAGGGTTTCGAATACAAAACCGATGCTTTGGTACTATTGCTTTATTTGAATGATACATTAGAGAAACGTATCGGCCTGCGTGCCGGACGTATGTCTTTGATACGTTATAAAATAATACTTTTTATATAACTCAACTGGATATTGTACATAAAGTTGTTTCATAGTTCTCAGAGTTTGCTTACTTAAATATCATAGATATAAATATTTAAATAAATCTAAAATTTACTGTTAGACCATGTATAAAAAATAATTAAATGAATTATTGCAATGCACACTGCTGGTCAGATTTCAAACTTTATTTCATGATTTTTTCAACAATGTGCATTTGCAACAGCACGAACAAACTAATTCATTATTTAACATTACAGAGTGGATGAACCTTTACTGAATACGCTTACATTTGATGTACAGTAAAGTCAATACTGTCATAGCACATTATATACATTGTATTTTCATTATGTAGTTTCATTATACCTACGTATCCTTACCACCCCGCCCATGCTTTCGTACTATTCTCGACAAGAAAAAAACATCGAGAAATAAGTACAAATGAAAAACCTACGTAAAACATAAAAGAAAATTTGTATATCTACTTATGTTTTCGCTGGATATAAGTAGAGCAAATTCGATTTTAACATTTCACGTTTGCTATACTATCAATGAGGGTTCTTGTACCTAACACTTGTTTTTTAATATAGTATTTTCCAAATGTACCACCATTAGTTATACATTATTTTGTGCTTCATTACTTAACAACTTTTCTTGTTGAAGAAACACCATCGACATCTACAACTTTGATGTTAATAGTTTTTTAAACTGTCCATCACTTCGCCAGATATTTCTTCTGGTAAAGATTCTTTGCATTGTTTTTCATGAACATCAATTTATTTTATCCAAATTTTATTTTGTTTTCATATATTTAATGTTTTAGTCGTCAATAAAACACTTTTCTGCTTTGGAATTTTATTTTTATTGCCCATATGAACAAAAAATAATCAGTCCACACGTTTTATCATCACATACAAAGGAATAAATAATTATAATAATAAATGCTAAGAATATTGATAAGATAAACATCAACAATTTGTACTAGAAGTGGAAAAACATTTTCCTTAACACTGTGCATATATAAAAAATTGAATGATTATCTTAAGGTGTTACAAAATTCAACAATTGGAAGAACTTCACAAATACAATACTTAACTACTTCAAATAGTTTCTTAGACATCATATATTTTGCTAATAAATTTAACAAAACGTTCTGTTTAAATCAACAGATAATTGATCTACATCACAGAGTAGTTATCGCATTGTTAGTGTAAATGCTTTGAATAATTTGATGTATTTTTTGATCAGCAATGAGTGATAAGCTCGTGGTATTGAAATGCTGACGGATTGTTGCAAGAGCAGGTGATTAACTTGTCAACCAACAACTTGGACAGTCTTTAAAGAATCACAGTCTATCAACTATATCAAATACAAAAAATGGACCGAGTATGTTGAAACCTCTACAAGAATATTGATTGTTACAAGTGATTATATTATGTACAGTGCAATACGCTCTTTGGTATGAGCTGAATGCTTAACTCTCACTATTAGTAATAATAATACTTATCAGGAATATATTTGTTATAGCCAGTACCGTCTAATAATAAAAATAAAAATAATAAAATTCTTTGGCTTAATAATGGAATGTTGTATAAAATAAAATTACTTCTTTAAAGGTCAGAATCGTGGTCTAGGCACGTTATCAACGAATTGGCCAACATAGTTGCCTCGAGGATTGTAATTCGCAACGACATAAGTCTCTCCTTTCTTATTCTTGGCCATCGCTATCCCCAAATCGGTGGAACCTTTCCAAATAATCTGGGTAAAATGGAGCGTACCATGATTGACACTCTCGACTCCGAAAGAATGTTTTTTTATTTCGTCGTACCATTCTTTAACAGCGTCACGAGCGGAGGGCACGTGCGTAAGATCAGAAGAGTACACACAGAAAATATTTTCCCCATAGGGGTTGTTGGCACGGTGGCACATACTTCCGCTTTTCGCACAAGTGTCAGCCCATTCTTGTGCATAGTCGCACAACTGAAATTTAAAATTAACATATTAAATCTAAATGACATCTGTTACCGACCTCTTTGTTAAGCTTCAAGTCCGGAACTCCATGTTTGCGCCTGTACTCATTATGTACTTTCAAACCATCCAACGCGAACTGGTTGAACCCGTCATTGTTGGTTCCTTGTGAAAACAAAACTTTTTTGTCGGTACTTTCGGTTTTCGGTGTTAAGGTGAGTGGTGGTACATTTTCAACATAATGCCCAACGAAGTTTCCAGCCGGGGAGTAGTTTGCTACCACATAAATACTGCCTTGGCTATTTTTTGCCACCCCAACTCCCAATAATTCGCTTGATTTCCAGACAACTTGAGTGAAATGACCAGATTTGAGACTGTTAGGTTCACGACCAAATGGGTGGAATCGCACTTCTTCGTACCAATGGTCCACCGGTGTATTACCAGAAATGGTAAAATTTGGATCTGATGAGGACATACAAAAGATATTTTCACCGTAGTTACAACTAGGGCGATGTTCGAGAATGTTTTTTGCTGCAAGATGTTTTGCCCACTCTTCACTGTATTTGCAAAGTTTCTTATCGAGTTTCAAGGGTGGTACCCCGTGACGCCTTCTGTACTCATTATGGGCATTGATAAAGTCTGCTTCAAAATTTCCTTCCGTACCATTTTTGACATCTTTACTGGTGGGGAAGGATTTGGTACTTCCGTTCTTGATGGACAATTTAGAAAGTGCCTCAGAGCAGTCCTCGTTGTTGTTATTGTTGTTATTCCCCGAAAAACCACCAACCGGTGGTACATTTTTACTGAAATTTCCAACGTAGTTCCCTGGAGGGTCATAGTTGGCAACTACCACGACCCTTCCACCAGATTTTGCAAAAGCTACTCCTAGTTTGGCACTAGTTTTCCAAACGACTTGAGTGAAGTGACCCGATGCCAAACTAGTTGGTTCGGTACCAAAAGTGTGATCCTTGATCTCGCCATACCAGGCATCTACTGGTTCTTTTCCTGAAACTGCAACCTTGGGATTTGAAGATGTCATACAAAACAAATTTTCGCCATAATCTTTGTTATTGCTATGTTGAAGAATATTTCTACTGATTAAATGATTAGCCCATTGTTGGGAAACTTTGCACATTTCTCTGTCAAGTTTTAGTGGAGGGACTCCGTGACGTCTTCGGTACTCATTATGAGCCGCAAGGCACTCTTGTTCAAATTCCATAACTGGATTTCTTTTCTTCTAAAAGAACAAGAATTAAAAATTGTTAAATATTGTTCGGGGAAATAAGTACTTTATTCGAAAGAGTTCTCTTAGGGGTTCTAGATACTTGTAATGATTCGATTAAATCAGATGGGAACTTGTCTTCACAGCCTTTCTTCTCTGTGGTGATTTTACATTCGGTCCGTTGCCCTCGGAATGTTTCGATCGTTTCACGCGTAATCGTCTCTAATTTCGGTTCCTGTGTAAAAAAAGGTGAAAGCATCTGCATGATTCCAGGAATGCGTGGTTCAATAGTTTGACGCGGTCAAACTGACCCTTTTTGCAACACAAACATAAAAAAGGGCACAGTTTGCTCGTCTTGCCGTTTACCTGGCCCTTTTCTTTAGATGCGAATGTCCTCTGGTCGGTCTTCCTGACCATAACAATTCTACTGGAGCCGTCGTGTCCGTGCACAGTCTTCCGGAACCTGTGCAAGTCGGTGAGGGATCCGGGAAATCCGGGTTTTCGCCTACACAAAGACATATCTGTAGGATAACCGCACATTTTCACGCCTCACTCATCCAAACTCGCCAATGGAGCTCTTGGAGTGGACGAGCCGTGTGCGCTACCGAACACGAATGTTCACCAAGTGTGAACAGCACGTTGCCTTTCCAATCTTTGTTCCGTTTTGGTAACCAAGTGTAACAAATATTAGAAAATTGTATACAAAGTATTGGCCATCACAGGAGATATCGGGACTGTAATGAAATGCGTAATGCGTGCCGTAATGAACTCTAGAATATTGTTTTGAAGATTTACGATTCATGGAAATCTAAGTTTAATGTCTTTTCGTTCCATGGAAATCTATGGAGTTTTTTGTTTCGCATTTTACGATGACAGGATAATGAATGAGCAAAGGTTTTTATAGTAATTATAAATCGATATAAAGGATAGTCTGCTGGAACTGAACCCAATTGTATCGGTAATCGTTAAATAGTGTTCTTTTTTTTATTCAGTTAATTAGTAACTTTTACTGTTCAAGGGTAACTTGTTCTTTATTCAGTGACAAAAGAAATTGAAGCAAGAGAAAGTCTCTTACATTTTTAGTCGCTTACATCTATTTATATGTTAAAAGACTAAATGTCACAGTTTTTTATGCAATGTTAGACAATGACAATTGTACAAATGAATGAGTCATCTGAGGTGAACCACCTTTACAATTAAAAGGAAATTAATTAAAATTAGGTACTTATTCAATTATTTAAAATTGCTTGTTTTTTTTAATAATAATTGTTGCAAAAATAAGCTTCAATTAATTAGATTTTGTGATGTTTCATACATGTATTTTTACAAAAAAAAAACAACAATTTTGTTAAGAATAACCCATAGGTATCAACTCGGTTAATAATTAAACAAATGCTTATTATTAAACAACTTAAAACAAATATTTAGAATTTCTTCAATTTCAGTTAACAATTTAACATTTCAGAAATTGGTATCGCTTACCCATTTTTAGGGTTAAATGCGAGGAGTTGACTAATATTTAACAGAGTTTATCGTTTAATAGTCATGAATCGTTCCAGAGTCGTAAAATTTTTAAAGCGTATTGTACCACTTTTGAATTCCTGATCAATTTTTTATTTCTTGTTTATGAGTATTGCACGAGTTAAGATTCATTGTTTGTATTTCTCGATCATTTCTAATTTAATTGTTTGCACAATATCTTTGATTAGAGATTAATCAACAATTTGGAATTTGACAATTTAAGATATTATTTAATGCCGAGAAATTAGTTATTTATCAAATATTAAAACAGTAATCATTAATCAAATGTAGATAAACAGTCAATTAATTTTTAATCGGCTAACAATAAGTAGGTACTATTTGATGAGTATTAGAGTGTAATGGATAAATCGAGGATAAATTTATCTACCGGATGTGAGAAGAAAATACGTTCAGAAAACTAATAAAACAGTTATTATTTTGAATGTTTAAAATGTTTATAGGTAGTTTTATTTTGCTTTGTTTTTCCATTTTAGTGCAATTTTCTTCAGAAATAAGATATGTGTAAAAATCAAACATTTTTTCATGATGATCATTTTAAATTCCAACTTCACTTTATGTTTAATATTTCATTAATTAAAAACAATGCATTTGGCAGTAATGAAATGCTATTTACGATCAAATTATACCGTGCGATCAAATAAAAAATAAATTAGAGAAGGCGTCTAGATTAAATTCTATAGTTGGCAACACATTGGCTGGGAATCTGGGCTGGAAATTTTCCACACAAACTGAAAGTGAAAATGACCACGGTTTTCCTCTTGTACAGCACTAAAAATTTTCTGCTCTAAAGTGAACTTTATTTCACTCAAAAGGAATAAAACGCAAACTTGTCAAACTTTCCGCTGACATTTGATGTCACAAATCAGGATTGCCATCTGAAGGACTTTAATCACCGCCCACTCTAATTTTTTTTTTTTGATCGCACGGTACTTGAGAAGTCTTCACTGCAAAATTACTACTCGTACCGTATCAATTATCATTTTTGAGATGAATTATTTACTTGTTCTTGAATAAGTTGTTAAATAAATTTACCTATCAATAAAATGGAATAAAAAATATATAAAATTGTAGCCCCTTTTATACGTATCAAATGTAACAAAATGACAAACAACTTACAAAATATTTTGACATGCAGGTCCAAGTTTTATAAAATGAGGACACTGGATAATTATAAATTACCTGTGTGTTATTAACTCATTGATAAGGTGTAATAAAACTCAGCACAATTATGCAACTACTGACCTAAAAATTCAGTTTTTAAATCCACCATTTAGATGGATGTAAACAAATTAGTACCGTGCAATCAAAAAAAAATTAAATTAGAGTAGGCGGTGATTAAAGTCCTTCAGATGGCAATCCTGATTTTTGACATCAAATGTCAGCGGAAACTTTGACAAGTTTGAGTTTTATTCCTTTTGAGTGAAATAATGTTCACTTTAGAGCAGAAATTTTTTATTGCTGTACAAGAGGAAAACGGTGGATGGTCATTTTCACTTTCAGTTTGTGTGGAAAATTTCCAGCCCAGATTCCTAGCCAATGTGTTGCCAACTGTAGAGTTTAATCGACGCCTACTTTAATTTATTTTTTATTTGATCGCACGGTATATTAGAGCCTTAAAAGAAATGTAGGTTATCAAAAAATACATATTACTAGTACATTTCGAATAAATATTTGCTGACAAGTGTTTTTTTTTTCAACTGACAGGTATCAACCCTTTATGAATAATCTACAATTACTTAAATTTTGTTTCTTAACACAAGAAATTACTTAATATTTTGTAAATTAAAGGTAAAAATATTTGTATCAATAGTGTAATAATAATAAAATTGAAAATTGTCTTTCCGATGTTACAAATTTCTAATTTTGAAATCAAATTGTTTAAGAATTTTAAATGAATTAGGTACAAAATGTAATTTTCCAAACTAGCAGTATTTATGAATATTTTTATGGATGTTGCAAAACTTATTAAAATATAAAATACTTACAGAATTTGTAAGTAAGGGAACTATTATTAATTGATACCTACTGAAGCAAAACTACGAGTAAAAGATCCATACTCATCTATTTATAATAGATTTTTCAAGTTGATAAAATACAATCTATTTCTAAATTCCACAGGATTTTGTAACAATGTTGACCTTTAGAACATTGATAAAGATTTTTTATATTTATTTTGTTCCGCGTTTTTCGAGCAAAAAAAAACCTGAGTGGATCTGATTAAATATTATTTCCTCCCAACAATGTAATGCTTTATTCCATCGTTTTTAATTAATAATAAACTAAAATAAATAAAATACCGATTTTTTCCTCTTAAAATTGTACGTCTTTGGAATAAACTCTCTTTTAAATAGTTACATACAAAAATGCTAATTTAGAACCTTAGAACCGCATTTTTTGAGATCGAATAAATCACAAAGAGGCATCTTTTAGGTATACCTAAGTAGGTAATATAATTTAGATCGTAATTCTTACGATATTTTTAATTTAATTACATTATGTAATTAGAGTGTTTACAATTTTCTTCATTCTTATCAGGAGCTGTATGACCCTGACAATTTAAATTTAATTATTGTAATCATGTAATTGTGATAGTGTTAAGATTCGATTAAAGCATTAATTGACCACCTAACCTATAAAACTAGAAGCGTAAATGGAGAGGGAGAGTTAATATTGCCGTCACGCAACTCCTAATGCCAAAACGGAAAAAAGCGGGCTTCGTGAGTCCACAACTTTTTCCACGTTGTTTTTTTACAATCCTCAAAACTGACTCTTCCGCAGGAACTTTAAAAACCGGTAAAGCCCACGTGCATTGTCACCAGACACCGGCAATGACAAGACTTATCAAAAATCGCAAGGCTACAGGATGTCGACATAACAATAGCAATGCAAATTTTTCACGTCTCGCTGTGCATTGGCACAAATTTTGCAATTTTTTTTTACTAAAGACATACCTAGGGGTGCTCGTGGCCGACATGTTTTCTTCACGTAGGTATTGATCGTGTTTACACTGCACTTGCACTGAATCGGTGCAGATTTCAGCACGGCTGAAAACTGAAGAGGGTTGCTGTTTCACTCACCCTGCAGGAAGCAGGCATGCGCTGCAGGAATCGCAATTTTTTATTTACGGAATTCGCATTTCAGTATCACTTCCTGGATATCTTTTTCGGAAGATAAGTCCGATAAGACTTATCAGCACCACAAAACGCTGACTTTAAAACAGCTTATGGTAATAAAATTGGGTAACAATTTTTCTCACGAGAATTATTTACGAAATTGCGGAACCATAAAGTGTGGAAATCAAAGAATTGAGTCGCACTGTATCACAATCAATTTTATCACTAGTCTTATAGTTTTCTTGCCACCACTTTTAACAAACGGGATCCTTGGTGGTTTTTTCAAGGCACGAGCAAAATATTTAATCTGTTATCAGTAACATTAAACAAACTGTAAAACAATGCACTATAAATTAAAAAAACGCTGAATTTGGATGAAAAATTGAAAGTTACTAACTAAAGTTGGAACTTTGCTGTATATCGCATCGTTTGTAAGTGGCCTTCAGTGGTTCGATTCCATGGTATTTTCATGTTGACTATTGCAATTTTACCTTGCAACAATATTTAGCGTGATAGCGTAATTAATTAGTTAAGTGGATAATTATTACATTTTTTAGCGCTCAATCGACTCAGAAAAAAATTCTTGTAAATAATTCACACTGACATTGTACCATCGTCACGAAAATTAGAAGACTGTCATTTAAATCTAGCCACAAAACTATGCGATTGCCATAATTGCTGAATCGTGACCGGAATTGAAACATTTTATTTAAGTTGTTTAAATTATTATTTATTTAATAATTTTATATGCAAAGTGCATAAAATTGTTTTGCTTTGGAAAAAGGCCAAATCTTTAAATTCAAGTCATTCGTGGTCATACCGACTGCATTAAGTGAAGTGAAGTGAATTAAATAAAAACTTTATACATATTTTGACTCGTTCCTGCAAAAAAGTTAAAATTTGTTTATTTGAACATAAAACAAAATCGTTTTTGCAACGTCATAAAATTCAGTTTTTAATATTTGAATATAAGAATAAAATCATTATGTTGCTATGTAAAATTTTCTTCTTTATGATTGTACGAGTTTTTAAGATTCATATCGAAAATGATCTCGCAATTTCCACATAAATGATTATAATCACATCACTATAATCCCTAAAATAAATTTTCCAATAAATATTACGTCGTTTTGTTTTGTTTTGTATTAAAAATGAACAAACAAAAAACTCGAAATATCGCGAGAGTATCATTTACCATAGTATTGTTTGCTAATTTTACGAATTTTGTCAAGTAACTTTAATCGACTTAACGAAAATGTGATTTCCTCATATTACATTATTTAGCAAACACAATGGAATTACTAAACAAATTGTCAAACTATTTTGCTCGCTCTCTCAACCTAATTTAAAATTTTAACTTTTAATTTAATTACAAAGATTATTTCTCCATTTCGTATTAAAATTAACTTTTCAGAATCTAAAGAAAACGTGTCAAAAATGCATCATTATTCTGTTTCATAATTGGCTTTAAACAACGTAGTATTAAAACTGAAAAGTTAAAATGTGAAATGAGTTTTTCACCTTTCCTTTAAATCTTTTTATCTTGGTATCTTTATTAGTTTCATTGCCTTAGATTATCTCTAGCCTGTCTGTAAAAATAGTTCTGCACAAATATTTTCCCGAGAAATTTTCTCTTATCAGAACTTTCAAAGAATAGTTGTTTCCTTAAAATAAATAGTGATCAAAATAATAAAAAAGTAAGTAAACAATCTTATTGTAGATTATTGATATCGATGTAATCATTGAGTTGATAAATACATTTACTAATAACGATTCAAGTTAATTCATTTAACTAAAATAATCCAAAATTGAATACACACAGAAAGAAAAAATACGGAAGTATTTTTGGCAGAATTTTGTTCCAGCCTTCAAACGTAAAAGCTCATTGAAACGAAATTCAAGTGCACCATGAAGATCAAAACTTTACGGTTTGAGTATTTCTCTCACGTAAACATTAAACCAGAAAAATACTTTTAAAATAATATGTAAATCAATGCGTTGTAACAATTAAAAGTACCGTTATAAAAATTACATAAAAAGTGATTTAGTCGGAAGCAGATGCGCTTAATAATGCATTGCAACAACAAAACCTGTTATTTATTTTGCATCTGCATATCCTCAATTTATCTTGTTGGACCGACAATTTTTACAACAATACAATGTGTTATGCAGTTGCGCTTCATAACAAACTATTAATTTGGATCAAGAAACTCATCCACTCTAAAAAACGAGAAATTCGATCTAGTTTTTCCTTTGTTTGATGGTCGTTTTTCGGTCAACGATACTTAAATCGAAAGTAACACTCTTTAAATTAATTTACTGATTTTTTTTAACGTTGATCAGATGATGCCAACTTAGTTGGCGAAACGTTCTTAAATGTTTAAAAATTTTAAATAAATAAAAATTGTATCTATAATGACGAGTCTTGGATACGCACCCAATTTTTCGCGTAAATACCTGGGCGTGTATCACCGGGATAGACGTCGGTCCTAATTGAACGGAAATCCGGCGAACATCAAGTGCCTTTCGTTTGCCATATAATAATATGGTACAAGTGCAAGGTTAGGCGATCAAGGACGACCAACCCAGCGAAATCATTAAAATAATTTGAAAGAGTCACGCATTGGAGTTTCGCCTTTCGTCCTGGGTAGAAATCAATTAGAAACGTTTAAGCAAATTGGGAACGGTTTAATTAAACGGTTTATTTTTCTAGAGTACTGTTTATAAACATTATTATATTATTAATTTCAAGGTGCGATGAAGAGACCAGAAAATTGTATAGTAGAACACTAGTTAAGTGAATTATATGTCGTATTATGTAACTTGCTCGTTAAAACTAATTTATTAAAAAATATAACCACCGCTATTTACTGGAAACATGTTGTGTAACAATGTTAACCTAGTTATGGGTGTGTGTTTGTCTCTTATCAGTTAAGAATGCTGGATACTCATCAGATCAAAAATATCAGAAGATTAAAACAATTTGTCATAAAACTGATAGTTTCTCGATAAATCAACAAGGATTATATCGACATTAGATAGTAAATTACATTATATAGTAAAAATAAAGAGATTATCTACTGACGTCACTTTCGAGATATGGACATTTTTGCTTTTGATATAAATTTTAAGGAAAGTGTTAATGGGCATTAATAATTGTTGAAATCCTTGTAAAGCTTAAATGGCTGTCAAGGTTTGGGGAACTACGATGGTATCTGTACTATCAGTGATGATAAACTATTTCCATAAAGGGTGAACAATGAGGGTTTCATACAAATTCATGTTTTGCGTTTTACTTTACTGAGGTCACGGAAGCTTAAAAGCACGGCTTTTCCTCGACCATGAAGAGCCTGATACGGATGAAAATTATCAAATAAAGTTTTCGAGTAGGTATGAATAATGACTCGTATCACGTACGCAATTATTATCAAATTACTTAATCTGGAAACATGAAAATTGAATGAAAATTTTAAAATTGACTTATTTCTATAATAACTTATTAGATGTAAAAATAATTGAATTAAATATTTTTTATTTTGCGCTTGCAACAGACAATAATACAAATATCTAATATTACAAGAGCCCAGTTTGGTTAAAGAAGGTTGGCATTCTCGGCCTGTTTTGATTTTGCTTTGTATAAAGTTTAATAAACCCAAAAAATATAAATGATCATTGTATTTAGTAAAAATTGAAAAGACACAATATAAAAGGTTACCTACCCAATTTCCATTTGTATCATTTTACACTGAGACAATTGCAACACTTTTTTATAACTTCAACTTTTCAAATAATGTGATATAAAAAGATAAATTAGGAAAAAAAATTATATCAGTAAAATTACCACCATTGTTATTCTAATTATTTCCTCCTAACTAAACAAACTTGTAGGCAACCAACAACACAACCAATAAGGAATAATGTTGATAAGAACAATATGAATTAAATGTTTTTCGAAGGAATAGTGACATGAATTTTACAATAATAATGCATGAGAACTTTAAAGTCTATAATACTGAAATTACGTTGCTTAATTAAAGCTATTATTTTTAATTTTATCAAAAACATAAATCAGTTAACACATTTTATTTAGTTTTGTTTAAGTATACCTAAGCTTCTTTTTTTTAATATAGAAATGTTAGCAATAACTTAACCACTTTTTTGGTTTCTGTTACTTACTCACTCACTCAAATATAAATATTTTTATGAAATAATAACTAATTTTTCAATTGTGTTAAAAAAATCAACAATAATTACCTTTAAAAGAATTACTGAAGAACGAGTTATACTCCCTTGGCTAAAGCACTGAAAATATTCCCGTTGTTGTTCTAAAACGCTTTTATAATTGCGGCTTATCAACGATACATGGTAAATAACAATACCATATAGCTGAGATAACAAAATTCACAGAAAAAACAGCGCTTGCAAATATTAAGATCATATTATTGCCTAATTTACAAAATGTAAAGAAAATTATCTCTACTTGTATGCTTTTAATCATCAAATCTGACTCACTGAAAATAAGAGTTTCAATTTTTGCGAGTAGTTCTAAAAAGAACATTCGTATTTTCCATCACCCAAATACACAAAAGCATATGTATGTACATACTTCAAATAAATAGAATTAAACTTACCTTTTCGGCTTATCTAAGATTCGCATCTAATGCAAATGTGCGCTTGACAAATTCAACTTTACCAAATGTGGGCTTTATATGTTCACTCAACGACATCCATTTAGCAATTACTTTAAGTGAGTTAAGTGAACCCAAAAAGAAATTTTTATTTCGCGAATGCCAATCAACGGAGACTTCAAATAAACAGGATGACATAATGTCTTAATTAATGGTTTCAACTGCATTTATTTCACAAATTACAAAAACCTAACTAGGGTATAATAATTTTTCGTAGTCCTTTCTTCATCCAGTTGCCGAAATTCCAACGCGCATCTGTTTCTCTCACTCCTCAAATCTATGCTGTTGTAAAGTTGCGCCTGCAACAAAGAAATCAAAATAAAATTAAACTTATTTTGCAACAAATTTAGTCACTAACCTGCAAATATAATACATCTTTGACCCTCGAATAAGCCTCCACGGCCCTAAAATCTTCTTTCACTTTCTCTAACATTTGAGCAGCCTTTAAAATAATCTCTCTCCTCTCACTGGATTCAAGTTGCCCAGAATGCGCTACCATGCATTTGACATACAATAAAACAGCTCTAGCTCTATCAAAATTGCCCCCATGTGCCAAAATCTGAACGAGACATCTATCCAAAATTTTTAACGCCTGACTTGTCATGCCTAAACTTAATTGAATATTGGCTATGTGCAAGTGAATCAAAGCAGAATGGTAATCCAAATTGTGCTTATCAGTGTCTATAAGACAGTTGCTAAGAAGTGTCATAATTTCGGGAGAAACTTTATCCGGATAACAACTCGAAAATTCAATTTCCGCTAGTAAAATCTTGGCTCGAACATAGTAGAAAATTTTAAGTTTGTATTTGTTATCACTCTGAAAGCGATTTATCAAAATATCAACAAATCTGTGTGCTTCGCTGTAATCCTGCTTGTAGTAATACAATTCCGCGAGTCTCAAGTAACCCTCCCACTTATCGACGACTAAAATTTTCTGAGCTGCAGTTTCAGCTTCGCTCCAGTTCTCATGATGTAATGCTAGCACGAAAATAAATAAATTCTCGCACAACATCCAAATGTGCGAATTGGGCTCATTTGGAAATTTTTCTTTCGCAAAGTTTAAAACAGTGTTGACTAAGTTATAATTTCCTTGCATGAGAAGATGATTGGCAACGTTACAAATCGCCATACAGAAACCTTCACCATAGACTGCTTTGCTATCGTTGCTATTGTCAATATTGAGATAAAAAAGCAACTGGCTCCAAAGAGACGACATTTCGGTCTTGCCGTAAAACTGCCAAAGGGCCGATTTAACGGCATAACTGTTCGAAATAAGATCTTGCAAAATATTTTGACAGTTAATCAAATCACCTTTTGTTAACGTCTCGAAAATTTGGTGCGGATGGCCCGAGATGAGACACGCATATTGAACAAAAGTCTGGATACCGAGCGAAGCCGTGTAGGAGAGACTTAATTCGAAACTTTTAGCTACAGAGTGTTCAAGTAGTTTTTCTTTGTTGACAGGGGTGAGGCGGTACAGCCAACAAAGAGCGTGTTGAAGACAAACGTTGTCATTTGCGGCTTGAGAGCTTTTTATTGCCTCTCTAAGAGATGCGAGAGCTTCTTCCCTAAAATAATTGTGGTGTTTTTTACATACACTGTATATTAACTCACTTGTGGCCAAAATGGTAGTGCAAAATGGCCAGGTTGAGTGCAGCAAATCTATAAACTTTGCTTTTGTCCTCAGATGAGATTTTGCTGTCTGTTAAAGTGCTTCTGTCAAAACAGTGATAAAGACTATCAATAGCACCACAAAATTCCTTCACTCTCAAATAATTTAAGTACGATAAAAAGTGCTAAAAGATAATGTGGAATAATAATATATACTATAGTTGCAACTCACAGCTTCTGCCAGTGACGGATTCGATTTGAGCAAATTTGAGATTCTATTGTGAAGTTCTTGCGGTGGTAATGCTTTTTCTTCATTGTTAGTTAAAAGAGCCGCTTGAGTCGCAATAAATAATTCAGCTTGACGTCTAGACCACTGATCTCTGTTAGCACTCCTAATAAATGTTATTATTTTTTGAGACAAAAAATGTGAATAATTACCAATCATCAGGACAAATGACTTTATTAACTTCTATTGTTATTTGATCACGAGTGGTTAAGCTTTTTTGCCACTCTTCATAATACCTTTTAAAAGTTAAATAAACACTTGTAACTTCAGAAAAAGTGAGTTTATCAAAATTAACAATCAATCTTCTCAAATAATAACCTAAAATCATGGTTTAGAGCACATATTAACAAAATGTGGAGATAAAATACCAACAATGCTACTCTTGCTCACAAAACAGTTCTGTTCTATTCCTGCTGCGATATTTTCATTGAAAGTCATGATCCTGTTAAAACTATCAATAATATCTAGCATATTCCCCGTTCCGTTGGAGTATAAATTGGAAAGTGTTTCATCAAATGCGTCAATTACGCTCTGGTGCACTTCATATTTAGTTGAAACTAAAATATTTCGTAGCTCCTCTAAACTGAGATCAGGACTTTGCAGCAACTTTAGAATCAAGACACAAAAGTCTCGCCGGTATCTGGCTTTAAGGACCCCGTCGTCTTCACAAATAAACCGGTCTAAAATTTGAGACTAATTTAAAGCAAATGGTGATAATTAGCAGTACCTGAATCCCGAAATAAGCAATAGTCACGAATCAAAATTGCAACCGTTAGCCTGTGAGGAGTAATTACATCTACGATGGACTTTTTTGAAGTTGTACTTTCGGCGTTTGTAGGCATTTTTAGCCGTTCTCTCACCCGTTCCATGAAAACTTTTAAATTTTTTTTAGGTTAGATAACTTGATGACAGTTGACAGATAAACAAAAAGTAGCCGGTAAAACAGAAATTACTAGCGTCATAACCTCAAAAAAAAAACGTAAAACGTTTGGAAATGGTAATTAATTTCTGATATTTTCTGTGTATTAAATCGTTTTTTGTTTTAGCTGTTTTATTCATTTTTTAAGTCCCTTGTGGGGAAAGATGTAGTGGTGGAATTAAAAAATGATTTAAGGTGAGTATATCCCTTAAGCCCCACAAATTCTAAGTTAAATGTCTTTAGCATTTGTGGTACTCTACACTCTGTAGATCAGTATTTAAACATCAAATTGACTGATATTAGTGTCACCGATACGGAAAAGTACCCTCACATGGTGAGATTATCATATAATGAAATAAATTGGTTTAGTATTTTTTTTTCTAGCTTTCTGTAAAAAACTGCTTTATAAGGGGTTCAGTTGTCCGTTACGTCCAGCTACCCGCTGATGAGGTTGACACTCAACTTTTACAGGATTCCGCAAGGAAAGAGGCGACTGCTCCCACTAGATAATTTTAAATAAGACAATAAATACAATTACTATTTAATTTTTTTATAAGTAAAGGATTAAAATGTCTGAACAGAATTAGAATTTCTAATAACTTAATTTTGATCATCGGAGAACATTTGGTAAATTAGTTTTAAATTAGTATAAGAATTATGTTTTCTTGAAGATTATGAAAAATAAAAGTTAAATTGTCAACTTGTATAAAATTTAAATTACCTATTAATAGCAGATTATGTTGTAGTATAACTTATACTATTTGCTTGCTAATAAATATACAAAGACGCAAACTTTTGCGTCGAAATAACAGAAGTAAAAATTATACTTTTATGCGTAGAGGCTTAAAAGTAAAACTTTTGGTTAAAGTAATCTAGGCACAAAAGAATGTCACTTTTTTGACGTTTGTAGATGGAAATTTATTTATTTTAAAAATTATAAATTTCTGCTAAACATTCTTTAAGTGAGAAGTTAAAAGAAGAAAATAATTTTTTCTATTTATTATTTATTTAAAATATACATAATAAAATCTAGGCAATATTTAATACTATACTTGGCATAAATATATCATCACAATCAATAATTCGACTCAGGAGATTTATCTACTTATATTACTTACATATTTACAGTTTAAAAGACAAATAAAATTATATAACAAAAGATAAATGAGATATCTAATTTGTGACTAGTTTTATTGAGCTCAAATGGCACTTGCATAGCAACAAATAAAGAAGTTTGGTTACTAATTATTACTTAAGTGAACAAAAACAAAAATAATTTAAGTACAAGTGATAATATAACAAAAAAGGGAAACGTTTTTATTGTTCCGTACTAAAATAAGAATTTTGCATGAGGTAGAGTTTATCAATTGGATTTGGTATTGAGCCGGAAGGCGGAACTGTGTCATGTTGATGTGAATGTGTCGACTGAAGTTCTAAATTTTGTAGTGAAAGGGTGTCTGATGTTGCTTCATCCAAATGGTCGAAATTCGTACTGTCATCCAATGAGATATCAGAGCTACAGAAACTTTCTCCTGAGTGAGCTGGATAAGCATCTAAAACAAATTTTAACATATTGTAACGCCGAAAAATAAACTCATCGTTGGCAACAACAAATATAAGCGTTAAACCACAAAAAGATATTTTGTATTTATCGCCGCCAACGATTCAACTAAATTTTTGTTGGAGCAAAATTATGAGATGACAAGGATGGGTTGTGGTAGAACTGTTATTTATCAAAAAATATTTACCATCTGGAGAGTACGGAATGTTGGGGTTGAGCGGTTGACTGGAACTAGGAAAATGTGAATCACTCAGATTTCCCATACCCATAAAATGTCCATGATCACTAGAAGGCGACTCTTGTTTAATAATCTTGTCATCTTTGTCCCCTTTCTCTTTATCTCCAGGCGACTTCCCGTCATCCTGCTTCGCTTTTCTTTGTATTTTCTTCATCTTGGCTCTCTGATTTTGGAACCACACTTGCACAACTCTGACACTGAGTCCGGTTTCTTTAGCCAGGGCTTCTCGGACTTTCCTGCAGGGTTTGGGACTGACTTCGAACGACGCCTTGAACTGGCGTCTCTGCGCCGAGGTGAGAATAGTCCTGGGCCTTTTGGGGCCTCTTCTGCCGTCCCTCGGCCGGCTGTTCTCGTCAAGCATGTCGTCATCCCCGGAACTTGCCTGCTGCATCAAATACATCTCTTTCTCGAAGTCTTGCCGACAGAAGAGTTGCCCCGCTCGTAGCACGAATTGTTCGCCTTTTTGCAGAGGCTGACAACACACCACGCATACGAAACAGGGCAGATGAAAGACGTGCTGTTGTGCTCTCATTACCATTTCGTGGGGAAGAAGACGGTCGCCGCATCGTGAACACTTTACTCCAAATATCCTGCAAAATGAACATCTTGAATAAATTTCGTGTACTGGAATGTTTTCGAGATGCTTTAGTATTGAAAATACTTAGAAATGAAGCTTATAGTATGTAGTATAGTGGCCCAATTCAAAAATGGGTTTTATTCCACAAAGTCTCAATTGTTATAAGCTTATAGTATGTAGTATAGTGGCCCAATTCAAAAATGGGTTTTATTCCACAAAGTCTCAATTGTTCTAGTTTACAGGATTTTTATACCTTAGTTGAAAGCTATAATTTCTTATAGATTTTGAGGCACTGAGTTTAGAAAAAATATCTGAGAAAGTTCACCACGTCACGTTTAAGAAATATGTATCTAATCAACAAAAATACAAAAATTGCCTAACAATAAATTAAAAATGAGTTGTTTTACTTTGTTTTTTTTATAATTTTTTAAATCAGTTTCCTTTATAACAGTCTAACAGTAGTTTCCTAACATATTTTATCCCAAAAACCTTTGTGCCGATCTTCGAAAACCCTTCAGATCTTGATGAAAATGCTCGCCCTGTTCATGGTGCCTAAGTTTTTAGTGAAGAAATCTAAATGCGAGTTAATGAAATGTATTTTAAGACTCATTTAGATCCATCTGGTGATAATTTTGTAATAATTCAGCAACAGTTTGAATTTAAAGTAAATTTTAAATTGGAGACATTTGTGCAGAAAGCAGGAAAATTATCGTTCGTAGCAAAAAACTATGACGTGATAAAAAAATAACAATTATTTTTGTTTAATTATAGGTAAATCAGCATAAAAATAATAATTTGACTAAAGGTAGGTATATTATACAAGTTATTATTTTTAAACTAGTGTTTTTAATAAAAAGGTAAAGGACTAAGAGTTAAAGGAACCCTTGAAATTGACAAGAACACAAAATATAAAGAATTTTTGTTTTGGTGTAACGTAAACTTTTTCCAGTAAACTGATAAAACTATCATGAACTAAGATAAATACTGCTTAAGGAGATATATTTTTCCTTAGACCTTAAGGAAGTAAATTTTTTACCCTAGTTTCAGAAAGGGAAGTGACGAATAACCTTCTAGGGAGGTAAAAATTTTACTTTCTTCATCTATTAAAATTATATGTAACTTTTCAGAGAAGTAAAAATTTTACCTCTCTTTAGCTTTTCCATTAAAACGGGAAAACATACTGCTAGATTTAATGTTGATACTGAGATATCAAGAGGAATTCTTAGTTTTTCTTGCTGAATTGCAGGAAAATTATATGTATTACAATGAAGGAAAGAGTTATTTTCTTCCTTGGTGGAAGAAAAAGATACACTTTCTTCCTTTGGAATACAAGTAACTATTACCTAAATAAGTTACCTATATAAAATAAATATTCTTCTTCTATTTCGGTGTCGCAATGAGCATTTTGTGTTACTAATATAAAATGCAATTTTGTGACACTGTTTTTGGCGACATTTTATGCAATACTTTGGCCATTACTGGTCATGCATAGTCGTTTTTAGGTGAGAAATTGTTGCAGTTCAACGTATTTCACCGAAACTAATGCAATTTAAACTATTTTCGAGCATACATCTAATGTCAAAAATTTTTACTGTTTTTTAATATAAGTACTATTTTGTAACTTGTCTCCATTTTGATTCTCTAATGACATATTAAAGAACGCGGCGTTTTAATAGTCAAAAAGTGACTAAATCATTTAAAATTAGAGGGCAAGTTACAAAAAATAGTATAAAAAACTCGTTTCATAAGACCTTGAAGCACTAATTCCTTAAAATAACTTGTGACTGCGCCACTCGTTTTTTAAACTTGAATTCGTGCTTTTTAAGACTGGTCTTACAGAAACTTGTTTTTTAATATACTTTTTTGCTACTTTTTTATTCTTTGTCTGTGTAACTATTTTTATTACTGCTGTTCTTTTTTGACTTTTGTATACTAGTATGTAAAAAGTTTTGGGAATTTTTTTACATGATTTTTATTAATAGTGTTTAAATAAGTTGTTGTAAGTAAAATACTCGGTAAAATATGAAAATTAACTTATGTTATGGCAATTTTTTCAATCGGGTTTTCGGAAATAAGCCAGATAATCGTTAAGGCATTTACAATCTAGTTATCTAATGCTTACAGTGGCGGACACGGAATTTTGGACATCAAAGTTATGTCAGTTCAGAAAATGTCAATGTAAGCCACGCTTTATTGTCATTATGATTGACGTTTATAACTAAAATTTTAAAGTTTTAGTTGAAATTTATTTTTGGCGTTAATTTTCCGAAACAATAACGCCATTTATTATACAAGACGATAAAGAAATTGTTTATCTACGAGTGAAAAGTTTAAGGTTACGAGTGACGAAGTCACGAGTGGATTTTTTTACGAGTAGATAAACAATTTTTATCGTCGTGTATAATATTTTGTTTTATTTTGTACTCACCTACCATAATTTCTTGAATATAAGCAGTAGATAAAAATTACTTTATTTTACTAGACGATAAAAGACTACTTTATTTACTGAAATTTGTTGATAAAAGCACTCTTTAACATTGAGTACAAAATAAATTATTTTAATTTGTTGTCAATTTTTTCTCTTGTTATCTGGATCAAACTTACAAAAACCGAAAGTGGGGTTAGTTGCCTAAGGCCCTTTTTACATCAGTCGAATGACAAATCGTCCAAAATTCCGTGTCCGCCAGTGTAGGAGTGAAATTGTTTCAATTTACTTTTATTGTCACAAAAAATAACAATCTCAATATATGAAAGAAAATTTTTTTAATTTTTTTATAAAAATTTTTAAATGTTATTGAAATGCAGTTGTTTAGCAAGTATTGGCAAATTTTTTAAATTTGTTTGACCATAAACTCTGAATAATATACATTAAATCCCTATTTGGTATTGATTTATTTAATACAAGGATAGATTATAAAATATTTTTTTTACATTGTACGAGCATGTGAAAATTGAACAGATTATATTGTTTGCAGTGTTGATTTTAAATTTTTTAATTTTGTTAAAAAGGCAAATATTTTTTCGAGGATCTCATCGATGTTTTTTGTTCCTCGGTTCGCATTTAGCTTGTTGGGGTGAATTAAAAGCGGCAACACGAAACGGGCCGTTTCCTCGTTTCCATTTCAAATAAGAAATTCAAATGGAGAAAATATAATTCTCCATTTGAACACGCATCCAACATCAAAAGGCGAAGCGCTGTGTACAATCGGAACCCTACGGATTCCTAACAAAGCACCATGAATGGTGTAGGGTTTTATTGGATTCGCTCCACCGCCTTCCGAAACTCATATCGCCGTGAATAAAAGCGAAGAAAATGTAAGAAGCGACCGGCGTCTTGTAATGAAAAATGCACGCTTCGCTTTCAAAAATCAAGTCTTGGGAATATTAACATTGACTAGAATTGTGGCGGAAAATTGGGGAAACGAGGACACGGCGTATTGAGGAAGGTTTTATTGGTGGTGCTTACCTATCGTAGTCAGCCTTACAGTAGAGCTTTGTGTTTCTGGTGTAGCAGGAATGGGCGAGTTGGACGCCACAGATGCTACAAGTGAGGCAGTGCTCGTGCCAACTTGCGTCTGCGACCCGCATCAGGTACCGATCGTGGATTTTCTGCCCACAACCCTCACACATTTCATAAGTTTTTTCACATTTTATTAGTCTGCCATCTGGAACGAAATATAAAAGAATAGAATGTGGCGAAAGAAGGGGCGCAACAAAAGTGATAAGAGATTTTTGTCTCTAAATTGGAATTTTAAGAATTACCAAATTTTCATGCGCTCGTTATTACAACCTATAAGAATCTCAAAAAAATATTAGATTTAGATTCGGTTGTTGCAATCAACAAAAATGCGCAAAAGGAAAATCAACTACTCAAATAATTTGGTCTATGTATGATTAAACTTTTCATACTCTACAAGGAGACTACAACTTTTAATACTATTTGAGAGCAGATAACATGTTAATAGGTATCAGAACAAGAAAAACAGAAACATTTAATTTTTGTTATTTGTACTAGTTTTGATTATTGATGACAACCAGAGATCCACATTTTTATAACCAATAACAAACCTCCCAACATATTTTTTCAATGTTTAAATGTCTTACAAGTTATAATTAGCAAAATTAATTAAAAGATTAAAAATAACTTTTTCTTATTACTGATAGTGTAAAGAGCCCATACATGCTCATACGCAATATGTACATGGCCAATATCATTCGTCTATTAAGGTTGAACTATACTGAATAAAAAAATTAATCGTTATTTAAGAATTCTTAAAAAATTATCATAACTTTTTGACGGCCTTAGCAGCAGTATATATTAATTTGAAATTCTTTGTCCGTGCCGTTTAAAAATAAGTTTAAAAAAATCTCTATTTTTGGCTATTTAATTATTTTATAACAAAACTGTACGGAAGAATTTTTTGATTTATTTTTGGTGTATTGTAGATTACCTACTTATGTTACTGTATTTTTTTCATGCAAAAAACTATTGAATTTTGCAATCCGTTACAAATACTCAAAATGAGTTACTGTGTGTGTGAGGTACTTTTTTAATTCAGGAACAACATCCAATTGTAAAAAACTAATTTGTTTACTGTATTTCTTAAAAATTCAATTTTTCTTTTTTTTATTTGAAAACTTGTTTGAACGGCTTTCCGTTTCCACATTATTTCCTAGTATAGTTCAACCTTAATTTCCCTTGACGACGATAGTATATTAAGCATCAAGAACGGTAAGGACATTTTACCGATCAAAGACAATTATTGTCTGAAATCGGTAAGTCTTTAACGTTCGTGATGTTTATGACATTTTTTGTCGTTTTTTTGGAACACTAGTAAACAATCGAATAGAGTCGCGCAAAAAAATATAATAGTGTCATTTACATAGAAAAATAAAAATAAGAAATTTGGTATTTTATTAATATCCAACTGAATGGATCAGCATTTTAATGTGTCGACACTAATGTGTTTCTGGGAGTTTTAACAAAAAAATGTTATTTCTAACACGTATGCACCTAATAAATTTATTAGGACTTATTTTTTATTATTGATTTTAACAATAATAACTATAATTATTGGTATCAAAAATGGTGGATGCGCCGGGTTTAATGCAAGTATTTATTTTTTTCTGACGGCCGTAAATAAAAACATCGAATTATAATAGTGCAGAGAATGAGATGAGTAGATATAATAGGTACAATTATGTGTTTAGGTAGTCAATGTTTTTTTTTCCGGATAATTTTTTTTCAACAATGTTTTGATCTTTTTGTTAAATTCTAACCGAGATACTAAAATAAACAATTTTATCTGTGGGAGGATATACTGCAGTTAACATTTTCTGTGAAGGAATCCGGAAAGCGAGGTAAACCCACGCACATTATCAACTAGAACCATCGAATATCTGGCTGAACCGTAATCCCAACAAATGCCCCGAGTTATAAACACTGATAAGGCCTCGGATAATATTTACATATTATACAAGTTCTCGTTAAGCTGATTTGCTAATCCCGGTTTTAGTATTGGTGCTGATGTCCAATTATTATCGGTAAAGTTAATACAAATTTATAGGTGGTTTGAGAACAAAAAATTGCAGTTTAGTAATTTAATAGCAACATGCTGGTTGAAAATTACAATTTATAGATGCACAGGTAAAGAGGTTTGTGTGTGGATATTAATATTTAATGCAATTAGGTTTGCTTGTAATCAGTTTGATGCACAGAATGCTATAACCATATTTTATTTGGTTAAATGTTTGTAGGAACCGCAAAACACAGACGATCCGCTAAATAAACATCCAGTTTAATATTTTATTATGTAGAGGTATGTCATCTATGTGATAAATTTCCAAAAGCAAATGGCGATGTGGGCGGCTTTCGTGTTATCGCTAAAAGCGATTTTAATAATCATTTAGCAAACATCTTTCACTTGTTGAAATCGCACGACTACTATTAAAAACAACTTGAATATTTACAGAAATAAATCAAAATGCTGACTACAACAAAAACTGTTTTTTTTATAATTGTTTAAAACATATAAATTTGTATAGCAAAACTAAGTCGATCAAAAACAGATTTCTGAGTTGGTTCGAAATAATAATGTTTCATTTTTATCAAGTTTTAATGAAATTACTGCAGCTTATAGCCGTCTGCTTTGATGGATCTATCTGTTATACTCATATTAGATTTTTATTTTATATTTATGTGTCTACATGGATCATTCATGATCTGTACATTCATTAAATTATAAATATTTTCAACTAAAACGAAGTAATGGTTATTTGTTAATGACGCATTTCTAGAACTCTATAACTGTAATAAAAGTTAGTATCTATTTATTTAAGATCCAGAATAAAAAATAGCTTGGTGGTCAACTTATATATTATTTTAAATAAGTTTTTTACAAGTTGAAAGAAAAGTCAAAGTAATCAAAATCTGTAGTTTTTTCCTATCTAGTTAATCTGTTATATAGAATGATTTAAAGGTGTCCGAGCAAAGGCGACATCATTGTTATTTACTTATTTGCATTATTCCTTTCCGTATAGTTGCCTTTTTTGATGGTAGCGTTTAGAACTAAATTCTACTATTAGACCTACACGAAATTTTAGCTTGGAATTTAATTTGTTAGTTATATTTACTCAAAGATTTTTCAAACAAATAAATAAGTTGTCTACTTTTATAAAATTAATTTCCAAATAAGTAGTTTAGTAAGAATACAGAATTCCTTTTTCTGCCAAAAATCAAATTTAATCTTCTTTGGAAGTGTAAAAAGAAGTGGCTTCAACAAAAGTACAAATTTTTGTCATGATATAAACCATATAAATCTGTTTTTGACATCAATTGATCAAATGTAAAAAATTACGATTAAAAGTTTTAGCAACATAATTGACTCTTTTCTTTCAAGAGTTTTGTTAAATATTTTCAAGTAAAAAGATGTCGTTATCTTTTGAATCGACACTGTGTAGAATGGATGAAAAAATTCAGAGTAAAGCCACAATCCTTGATAAAGTTTTCAAATTTTTGCAATTTGTGAACTTTGCAAGTTTCATGCAGCAGCACAGTTTTTAGTTTGCAGAAGTTTTGGATTCTTTTCTTCTAAGAGTATTTTAAATTTTAAACTGCTTTTTTATACACTTTTATATTGATTGTAGACACTTTTCACATATCTATTCTCATTCATTATTATTCCTTCTCAACCATAAAAAATACTCGGCATCAGATTTTTCTCTGATGGAGAGTTTTGTATGCTTTTCTGGAAAAAGGGGAACCGTTATTTAGACGTAACAATGGGCCTTGTCAATACAAAGATAACCATCATTATTCGTTTGTAGATATTAAAAAAAAATCGTGTTTTTTTGCTAAAAAATAAACAACTTGGTGTTCTATTTTTTTCTCACAAATATTCCACGTAGTTATCTAATAACAAAAAATTGTAATGGATAGTCTATTATTTTTCAGCTAGATAGATTTCTTTTGATGAATTGCTCTCAAAAAGCTTTTTTGTAATTGTAATGGATAGTCTATTATTTTTCAGCTAGATAGATTTTTTTTGATGAATTGCTCTCAAGAAGCTTTTTGGATTTATGTTTATATTTATTATGAACTTCTAGGTGCCGAAATTATTGTGCGCACTGTATATTTTGTATTAAGTGAAGAGGTATTTTTTTAACTACAAAAATTGTAATGGATAGTCTATTATTTTTCAGCTAGATAGATTTTTTTTTTTTGATGAATTGCTCTAAAAAAAGTTTTCGGATTTATGTTTATATTTATTATGAACTCCTAGAGCCGAAATTATTGTGCGCACTGTATATTTTGTATTAAGTGGGGAGGTATTTTTTTAACTACAAAAATTACTTTTACTGTTGTGATTAATTGTGTGTAGGTACTTTTACTTGTTCTGACTAAAGTTATGTTTTTTTTTTAATAAACAAAATAATTTTGTTTCAATTTTTACAATGAATAATTGCTCTTTATACTACAGTTTTTTAAACCGCGGAAATTTACCTAAAATTATCTTTTTTCTACTATAGATACCTACAATTTGAAAATTGCTTGAGGGAATGTCTAAACCTCAATGCGAACAGATGTAAATATATTTGTTTAATTAATTAATAATATTTTTTCATGTATCTAATTTTTTGCAAATTTTTGTATTTGAGGATTTAATAAAGTTTTATTTATGTTTTTCTACATAAAAAAGGAATGAAAAATACAAAAAAGTTAAAAAAGCGTTGTTATAAAAAGTATTCAGAAGCTACCCCTTTCGGGGCCATTTCTTGTAAGAGCTGGAAATGGAAGCCACTTGCAAATATTGATATAGCTAAAAGCTTGTCGAGCTTAGGTTAGGAAAGCCGGAAACCGGACTAATGACTGAATCTCGTCTCCGCCGGAAGACGAGACATCAGCAAAAGTGCTAGGAACAACGAAAACGTTTTCTGGTTTTGCATAATGAATCGTGAAGGTGATTAGCGGTGCACTGAAGATTACATTAGGGGGTATCACAGCTCTTTGGCGCTATCACACGCCCGGTTACTGCTTAATCCAAGCGTGAATCCTGATCTCTCACTCCCCTTCAATTTTGTCAAAATCCCCAAAAATTAACTTACCAGTTCGACCGTTACAATCTGGTCCATTTAAGCCGTTGTGGTCCGGCAACATAGCCGGAGCAAGGTTTAAATTCGGATAAAATTCCAACATTTTGAAAAGACTTTTCACAAGACACTCACGCACAAAATTTGCGTATGGTTTTTTACGTAATCGACATGAGCTTGTATACAGTGTATGGTATTGCAACGACGCAAGATTCACTACTGTCCCTTTACTATAGATTGTCACTGATAGAATAAGTCGGGGGTGGGAAGGTCCCTCCCTTTAGGGGTTCGGAAGACGTCGGCAGACCCGACATTTTACTAGCGATCGGGACATTACTAAGACACGCCTACTAAATAAGAGGGGAGGAGTTTATAGGTGTGGCTTTATAATCCCCACCATTGGGCATGCGCATATTAAAGCCTTGCTATCGATATTGGATCACAGTAAAAGGAATTTACTTTATCTTATCTCTTTGATGAGGTTTTCAAGCAAGATTCAAGAAATCGACCTACTATTTTTGCATACAGTTTGTGTTTTCATATTTAACTCCCTAAAAGTACAATTTAACTTCTAAAGTAGGTTTAGATGTCACGACTCAGTACTCCATATGAGTATGATTAAATATATATTTATTTTTTTTCACAAAGTTTTGCAATTAAAGAAGAGTTTCTAAGTTGTTTGATGTTTGAGAGCGTGAAGTATCTCACGCACAGCGTGAACTATGGTCTAACACCGCTTGGAATGCTAGCGCAGGTGTTGTAATGCGGCCGATAACCGCAAACACTTGTAGTTCGGGAACACCATAGCCGACTAAATACGGCCAGACTCTTGTTGATGCCATTATAAAGCTCACCACAGTCATTCGTGAAGGGGTCGAACATCAAAGTATACTTAGAGACAAGCAAAAGACATAAAGACAGGTGAAGTGTTGCTATATGCATGCCGGGGAAGGAGAACTAAAAGTCGCACGTCGACAGAATGTGGATGGTTTTAAATTGCACATTTTTCTCCGTTTACGAAGCAATTTCTTTGGAGTTTTTTACATAGTGCCTATTAGGAGACAGGTTAAGAGTTTTCCATCGAAGTGAAAAGGTTTTCTAAAAAAATTATTAATTTTTATTTGCTTTTATTCATGTGGAATTATAGTTATGTGAACAAAAATAGTGTAAATAGTTAAGTGTGGGTAACAAAAACTTATAATAGTTTTAAATTTTGGGTTCGATATTTGAAGAGACGAAATTTTTTTATTGCAACCGTTTCAAAAATTAATGAAAATGTTTTTTTCTAAAGCAGTTTTTGATTTTCAGCATATTCTTGTGTTGAATGACGAAATTGGGACCTCACGAGCATACCATTTTTACATTCCACGTATCTAGATAAGTTTTAATATCAACGTTCATATCAAAGAGGACAAAATTTCATCACTGAATGAAAAACAGTTATACACTTGCAATTTAATTTTCATTTCTCGTTTCCAGTTTAAAAAAAAAATAAAATTAAACTCTGCAATACAACCAACTTGGTCTTAATTTAATATGAATGTGTAGTGTAGGAAAAAGTATAAAACAGGGAATGATCAAAAGTTGAGGGCAAATAAATCGTCATGGCAACTCTTTAACTGAAGTCTGCAGGTGAACCGTATTGACATCAACGGTCATCAGCATCATGCTGTTGATCCTCTTAGTCTTGTGTTTCTCCAACAGTATCATCCTATTGTTTTCGACACGTGTTGTCACGTGCCACCTGCGAATAGACTCCCCGAGCTTGGTCTATTGCCCATATTGAACACTTTCATAACATAAACAGAAGGCAAACTCACGTACGGTTTTAAATATTTTTCAAGACTTTTTCTTATTTAAAGTCTTTTTTAGATTTGCCTTTTGCTAGAGTATTAGGTAATAACTGTTTCCATTATTTATTTCTCGATATTTTGTTAGTTTATATTTTTATGTTCTTTTGGTTCTACCTCCGGTCTTTCTCCCTTGGCACTGCACGACATGTATAATCGTTTCAGCAGCGTGGCCCCCCACAGGGTGATCCGTTCCGGGCGCAGTGCGTGATTTTCCGCTTCTCAATCGCTTGTTTGTCAACGAGGAGCGCACCCTGACGGACATTACAAGGGGCGCATTCGCTTTTGCCCCACAGATCTGTTTCAACCCCGACCGAAACTGCGGAGAGATTGATTGATTTTGTCCAAATGGCTCGTCTATGTCAAATTTATTGACAACATATTTATGCATCTACACGAAGGTATAATTTTTTGTAAAGTCACGGAGGAAAAACACGAAACTCTGCAATAATATTAAATTCTTAATAAAGCTTGGGCCAGGCTTTTGGTTTTTTCTTTTTTTGTTTTATTATACATCAAGAAAGATGAAATTATAAATGACGGCGCAATATTTGAACTTTAGAGAAATCACTTTAGTCAATTTTACTATTCAAAAAATACCTTGATGCAGGTGGCGCGTCTTTATTTTACGATCTGACACATTTTATTTGATTTGAGTTCTTAAAATGTCTTCTCTAATCGCATTTTAGAATTTATCACTTTCCAATTGGATTTTTTCAGTAGTCCTGGGTCCTGGTTTTTAGAAAGTAGGGACGGTTTTGCAAAATGATTTTTTTGTCAATTAATGAAATAGTGTTCAACTTTAGTTATCTTAAAAACTCTACGATGTGTGTGTTATTAGCAAGTAGCAAGAAAACTTTTTTACACAGTACTAATAAGGAATGAGAATGATAGGGTAAACTTGGTATAGATGCCCCCTTGGGATATATGGCCACTTATTTAAAAATTACGCGTTTGCAGTAGCTTTTCTGCAGTTTGGCCATCCAATTTTTGGTGTTTTAAGTTTTAGATGTTAGGCAAAACCTGGACAGTTTTCTTGCTTCTGTCATTCGTGTATCTGGCATTAAAGGTAAGTACTTTTTAAACCGGTACTTGAACGTTGGGATTGTAGAAATGAATTTTGGGTTTTAACTAATTCAAACACATAATTTTAGCATATCGGTTGTTTTGTTGCAAAACTAATGTTTTTTTTACTCCTTTTTTGACGTTATATTTGCGCTTTTTCAATGTTTGACATAGTTATTTAGAAGGGCATCCATCCCCAACAGTGAGGATATATGCCCCCTCAAATTATGGGATATACGCCGTTACAAAACATGTAGTGTTTTTCTCTTCTAGAGTGACAAAATGCCACGAAAATACGTTCGGAAGCCAAATTGTAAGCCCCGAGCTTATGGAAAAACATCCTGAATTATCGGTTAGACAAAGTGAAGGCCTCTCAGTTGCTCGAGCCAAAGGAATGTGCCGAGAAGAAATCGAAAATTTTTTTTGATAACAGTTGTGAAGTTATTAATATTAGTGATATGCCTTCTGTTTTTTTTAACTGATAAACTGATAACAGTGTCAAAAAGTGTATAACACAGAAGACAGAAACCTTAAAGAAAAATACCATTAGAAAAGTTGAAGACAAAAAGGCTAAAAAAAAACTAAAAAAGAAAGGTGTCATAAAGGATCAAGAAAATACGAGTAGTGCAAAATGTGCTGAATATTTGGAAGACTATTATAGTACAACTCAAAGAAGTGACTGGACTAAATGTGTAGATTGCAGTCATTGGCTACATGAAACGTGTACAATGTATGATCCCAAATGTAATGAATGTGGAAGAAAATTTAAGCGATTGGAAACGTGCAAAAAAAGAATTTAGTTATTTTTGTTACTTTTATGTATACCTACTAAAAATGTAAAAATCAAATTTCTAAGTTTAAAATATTTTTTTAATAATTTTTTACTTCAAAATTTAAAATAAATACTTTTGTTATGTAAATATGCCTACTATCCCACAAAGTGGCGTTAATCCCATACATCAAAGGCAACTATACATTAATGCCGGATACTTGGCCATTTTAAAGATTGCACAAAAATGACTTTTATAGCTTTAAAAAAGGTTTAAAAAATCTTAATCAGTATAAAATGACGTCTAAATTAAGAGCAAAATTAAAATAAAAAAGTCTTAATTTAGTAAAATAAGTTAAATTGTCTGTTGAAGAAAAATTAGTTTTGGGGGGCATATATCCCGAATTTACCCTATTTAGATATTTATGTCTACAGGATAAATTTTTTGCTTTTCTTCATATTTAAGATGTTTGAGAAAAATGTTTAAAAATTTCAGCAGATTATTTCTGAAGGCCACAAAAGAAAAACAATTCTATGGACACTATGTTTGGAAATGCTAGGGCGACAACTCGAGGTTATTTAAATTTTTAAAAGAACTTGTTGCGAGGGTTACCTACTCTTCAGAATGCAAATACAGGGTTAAAAAAAAATGAAAAATATTTCAGGAGGTAATAGTATGGATCAAAACAAACGAAAAAGTCTGAATAAACAAGGATCTGCAAAGTAACGGTTTTGGGCCTGGATGAAAATTTTTGTAAAATAATTGAAATTGAAATACGTAATTGATCTTTTGATCGCTATTTTAAAGAAGTTTTAGCTGCTTTTGGAAGAATTTCTGAACATATGTACTTAGAAACTTTTGTTCTATTTTAACTTAAGTATAATTAGCTGAAAGTTTTTGCAACAATGCATTAATCTGTGTTTTTTTTATTGAATATGCAGTATGTCCCCGGATTGGGTTTACAAGAGGAACAAAATTTTTATCTTTGATTTTACTCCAAAACTGTAAAGGAATTTACCTGCAACGAGCAAATCCGTAGGTAATTAAAATTTTATTATTTTAACCCAGTAGAAAGAAAAGTTTATTTTTCTCTTGATTTTGGACTTGTACCAAATTTTTCTCTGTTTTTTAAATCCCATCTCATTGGCGGTTTATTTTTTTTGTCAATATGTCACTTTGACAAATGAGTTTACGCAAGTTAAATAACAAAAATGTTTGTGAAAAACATAATTTTAATAAATGGCAACTCAAAGAAACAGTTTTAAGATAAGAAACAAAGTCATTTTTAACCAAAACTTGCATTATTTAATTAATAAATTAATTGTCAAAGTGACATATAGTTATCAAATAAATAAAAAAGCCCGCCAATGTGATAGGACTTAAAAAGCAGAGAAAAAATTTTCAAAGTGACATCGTTGTCCAAAAAATAAAACCGCCAATGTAATGGAAATTAAAAGCAGAGAAAAATTATTACAAGTCAAAAATCAAAAGAAAAATTA